TCATAGCTTTCAGTGCCTTGAGTCGACTTTTGCATGTTCCTATGAGTTGATTGAGCTCCTCTTTCTTTCCCTTGTTAGAGCCGACAGTGACGCCAAGGTACCGGTAGTGGTCAACCCATTCAAGTGTTACACCATTAATTTGCAGTTCTTCATTTGCTCTCCGCTTGTGATGGGAGTATGCCTTCGTCTTGTTTGTGGAGAGAGTGAAACCGAGCTCAATACATTTCCTTCCGAGGAGTTCAATGGACTGTTCAATTTTTCCCAAGGTGGGAGCTTGTATTAGGACATCATCTGCATATCCCACTTGTTGTGTTCCTTCCGGAAAATCAATATTTGCAATGGCGTTCATAAGTACATTGAATAGTGTAGGGCTTAAGACTCCGCCTTGGGGGGTCCCGAGTTCCATACTCATTGTTCTGGAGACTGCTCCATTGAAGCAAACCTTGGCTTCCCTTCCTGTGAGGTAGTCTTCAACCCATTTCATGAGTCTCCCCTTGACACCCATGCATGCAAGCTCGTCCAGGATCGCAATCCCCTGTGCTTTGTCGAAGGCTCCTTTGATGTCAAAGGCACAATGGATATTTACCGAGGACACAAAACTCAAGTGCACTATACCTTAAATACCCGCACTACGGCCACGATGTTGATGGCTGCCCTCAGCCCCGAGGATACGGGCTTGCGGCCCTGTTCCTAATACACTCCCAAGACACACTGATGAAATTTAGTTTTTCCAACTTATTGCTGGGAAGGATTGCTCCTCCCACCATCTAATACAGCCCCAGGGCTCCACCCATTATTTTGGCAATGGCCAACCATTTAACACGTAGGCCTGAGGTCTGGCTCTCTAGGGCCAATAAGGACTTGGCCCTTATCTCAGGCCAATCACCTTCACTGATCTGTCGTGGAAAGCTACATGAATTTCTGAAGATTGAGTCAGCTCTCCCCAGCTAGAGAAGGGGGGACAAGGCGCGTCTATGGAGCCCAGGCACCTGCGAGCAATGTTTACAAAACTGATAATTTATGTTCAAGCCTGTCTCCTCTAAGATAGGAGTAGGGACATTTGACTCTGCCTGGTATGGGGAAGGCCGCTGCTGAGAGGGACAGAGAGGGATGAGAGGGGGTGGAGAGGGAAATATCTGAGTGGGGAATTGAGTGGGAGAAGCCAAGGTATCCACGACCACCCTACCCTCAGGTCAACCTCTAGACCCTGACAAATGGGCGACAGGGGGGGGGGAAGAGGAGGAGACGAATGACGGCCAAGGGGAGGGGAGAAGGAAGGAGGGGAGAGGGAGAAAGAAAGGAGGGGAGAAGGGGAGGGAAAAGAGGGGAGAAGGGAGAACCAATGATCTGAGCCCCAGATCATTACAACCCAGGCACCTGCGAGCAATGTTTACAAAACTGATAATTTATGTTCAAGCCTGTCTCCTCTAAGATAGGAGTAGGGACATTTGACTCTGCCTGGTATGGGGAAGGCCGCTGCTGAGAGGGACAGAGAGGAATGAGAGGGGGTGGAGAGGGAAATATCTGAGTGGGGAATTGAGTGGGAGAAGCCAAGGTATCCACGACCACCCTACCCTCAGGTCAACCTCTAGACCCTGACAAATGGGCGACAGGGGGGGGGGAAGAGGAGGAGACGAATGACGGCCAAGGGGAGGGGAGAAGGAAGGAGGGGAGAGGGAGAAAGAAAGGAGGGGAGAAGGGGAGGGAAAAGAGGGGAGAAGGGAGAACCAATGATCTGAGCCCCAGATCATTACAGCCTGGTCGAGGACTGGGCCGCGGGGACACTAAAGCTCCGAAATCATCTCAAGATAACCTCAAGAAGAACCCCATCCCATCCCAAATCCTTATCCTGACCCCTTCCAAGTGCTGTATATTCGTAATGGATTGACACTTTTCCCCTGATAGTTCCCTTCCCTTCTTAGTGGTATGTAGTAGGCATCCATCAGTCTCGGGAGACTATGGAATTGCGCTCTGGCTGTCGGTCTGGAGTAACCTCTCCAGGGCGCTAAGGCAGAGTAGGTTGATAAGGAGAAGCTGTTACCCATGCAGCAGGTCCCCCCCTCTCCACGGCGCCGAAAGTTTCCAATGAAAAGGCAAACGCCAATACGATTTGTTCCAGTACCGTCGCAGGAACTAAGAGTTCAGGAGTTGACCTTGAAGTTGGTGAAAGAAGGCACAGGGACTCCAGACCCCGTGGTCGGGGCCGGAGAGCCACCACCCCATCCAAGGCATGAACGACCCCAGCCTCCTGAAGCAGAGCCTGAGCCGCAAGAGTATGTGACGAGCCCATTTCTAGTGCTATTGTGCCTATTTTCTAGAGTCATCGATTTAGGTCTGTATTATCTAGCTGTTCTTCGCAGCTTATTTCTAAGAGGTGTTGGTCTATTAGTTCCAAGTTAATCTATTATTTAAACTGAATTTGCTATTCTCCTCTTGGAATGAAACTGGGTGCGCTGGTCTATTGCCTACGCTTGTCTGGACTTGTTAGGGTGTCAGCCAAGTAACATGTATTTGCAATCATTACGTTCCTAGCCTTAATTTTACAAACATTATTGTTTGTGAAAATAATGTCTACTCTTAGAGTGTAGTTGGAAGGAAGAAGAGTGTAGTTGGAAGGAAGAAAATATCAGGGAAAAGCGCCAAGCCATTACAGCTATATGGAACTGGGGAGATATCATGATAAGGATTTGGGGTGGGACGGGGGAAAGGAAGTGTTGGAAGAGAATAAGTACAAGTGTTTTGCCACTATATGAAGCCATTATTCAATGTCCCAAAGAGAATGCAAATTTTAACCAAATTTAATTCAATTGAAACCACAAAGAATCCCTATCAGGAATTATGATGTTTTTAAGGTTCTTTGGTAAACTGTAAATTTTATTCTACTTAAACAATTGAAGTATGAATGAGAATACCTGCTTGATGGGGTTTTGAGAGTTCTACTCCAAGCCCGGCCCGAAGCCAGGCCTGGTTTGCGAGAGCTTTGTCCAACAGGCTGTTGCTTGGAGCAGCCTGCATGTGATATAGTAATTATCAGAAGAAGGCACCAAACCGGGAAGGCTATGTAGCACCATCAAATGTGCGGGATAATCAGAGGGCGCTAAATATCACCAAGGATGCCAATACGAGAACAAAAACGCATAAGGGGAACGACATCAAAAGTATCCGAGTCGCCGAGAATTCTATCGAGGAACGGTCAGAAAGCAAGAAACACGCTCGTCCTGGAAGTCAGGACATTCAACAAGGATAAGCACGACTATAAGAGGGACAATGCAATTTGGACAATAAGGAGCAAGGCGGCGCTCCATTAAGTGACCGTGAGTTAAACGCGTATGGCCAATACGCAACCTTGCCAGAGCCGTTTTCCATCCCGGGTTACGGTGGTAGGAGGAAGGCGATGAGACACACTATCCTCAAGAGTACACAATTTGTTACCAGTAACTGAAGACCAACAATCCTGCCAGTGTGTAAGGATGGAGGAATGACCGAGTAAAAGTTGGAATAAGTAATACCTTAAAGGGAGATGGGACAAGAGCGGACAGCTTCCCTAGCGGCAGCGTCCACACGCTCATTTAAAGAAACACCAATATGGCTGGGAACCCAGCAAAACTCAACTGACTTAAATTTAATGGAAATAAGAAACAGCCAATGTTGAATCTCAACCACTGGATGGACCGGATTGAAGGACCCGAGAGCCATGAGGGCACTACGAAAGTCAACGACAACTACAAAGGAAGATTGACAACTAGAAAGCAGGAGACGAAGAGCATAGAGAAAAGCATAAAGTTCTGCTGTAAAGATGGCAGCCTCAGGAGGAAGGCGACACATAAGTGCGGTCAGGAAAAACAACAGAGTAGCCTACACCGTCCGCAGACTTAGACCCATCAGTGAAGATGGAAACGGAGCGGGAGTGTGAAGAAAAGTGCTCAAGGAAAACACATTTCAGAACCATAGGAGGGGTAAAAGCTTGTAGTGATGTGGGTCAAGGAAGAAGAAAATTTTGGGAGGGGAATTCGCCACGGGGGCAAGGAACAATACGAGAAATATTAGAAATACGAACCGAAAGAGAATCCTGTAGGCGAGATAACCAGATAGAAAGAGGGAGGTGGTGAAGAGGAACTGGAACTACAGGAGGGGTAAAAGTCAAAGCACGAGGCGAGAGGAAGGATGTTGCAAGAACCACGCAAGATAGCGAAGAAAGTAGCAATCACGGTGGTCCCGGAGATAGAACGCCAGTGTCAATATATAAGCTGAGGGCGGGAGTCGAACAAAAGGCACCAGAGCTGAGGCGCAACCCAGTATGGTGCAAAGTATCAAGACGGCGAAGAGGAGCAGCAGACGAGTAAGCAGGGCAACCATAATCAAGTTTAGACAGGACAAGAGAGGAACGTAAAGCAAAAAGATTGCGCCTATCCACTCCCCAAGAAGTATGGGACAAAACCTTAATTAACGAGGGCAAGGGCCTTGGAGCATTCAACTCTGAGGTAAGAGATATGGGGCAACCAAGACAAATGAGTGTCAAAGATTAACCCCAAAAGTTTAGCAGAATCCTTGTACTCAAGAGGATGACCATAGTGACAGAGGGGGACGAAGAACATGCTTCCGAGTAAAAATCACAGCACAAGTCTTGGACGTAGAGAACCGGAAGCCATGATCGGTGGCCCAAGACGACACGGCATCAGTCGCAAGTTGAGGGGTAAGGATAAGGATTTGGGATGGGAAGGGGGGAAAGGAATAGTGTCCAAGCACTTGGACGGTCGGGGATTGAACGCCGACCTACATGAAGCGAGACCGTCGCTCTACCGTCCATCTCAAGTGATGAATGGAAGTGGAGTATTGTACTACATATAAGGTTCATTAGTAAAAGAGTGTTGCACTTTCCCAAACCAAATTACCTTTCTGTTAATTTGTCCACTCCCTCAGATGCACGTTTATGACCACTTTATTGCAAAGACAATAAAACTAACATATACAATTTGGGGGTTCCAAATGAAACAAACAAATAACTTTCAAATTTTATTTTCAACTTTTTTTCAGTGGGACAAATTCAGAAAAATAATATTTCAGGCCCAATTTAAGAAAAGATAAAGATGCTCATATTAGGGGATAATCATGCCACCTAAGAGCACAGAAAATAAAAAGTAATATTGCAAACTCCTATGATAAAAAAAATAGAACCCATATTCAAAGTAAAAAATATATATTGTAAACAGACTAGTTTTTGAGTCATAGGAGTCAATTTCATGAATGAAAAAAGTGAGAATTAAAACAGTTCAGTCTCCTGAAGAACTTTTAAAAAATCTTCAATATGGATTTGATTAGAAGATTCAACTTTGAGAATAAAAAAAGAGAAATCACCACAAGAAAAAGGAAGGAAAAATCTGACAAATACTGCTGCATTTGACAAAAGTTACACATTATGAAACATTGAAGAATGCACTTCATGTAACTTGTGCCAACTGAAATCAAAGCTAATCAGATAATTCACAGCTTACGACAGAAGCTGATAGTCTTGAGAAGAAATAAAAAAAGAAACATAACTGCCTTGGAAATCAAGTCCAAACAACTGTAGAAGTATTAGTGAAGAATCAGTTCTCTTGGTATCAGGGAAGTCAGTGATCCCTACAGTATGGTCAAAATTATTATTGGAATAGATTGTCTTTCAAGACAATTGTGATGGAATAGTTAATAAGAAAAAACAAACGAATGGAGACACACGTTCTCGGCACTTTGACTGCCCTAATCCTGTTTCCTCATTGAACAAAGCCTGCTACAAGTCTTGTACATGATTACATAAACATGGCATCATTAGTTCATGCAACATCATATATGGCAGTATTCACTTTAATAATTTGTACTTGCACCATACTAAAAAAATTTTTTTTTTTACTGAAGTACAGAACATATAATGAAATTAAAATTACATTTTTTTTAACACTTGTGTAGATATTAACTAAAATTTAGGTACAGTATACCAACCATCTCTCACTGTACTGCCGCCTGAATAAACACGTTCAATTTATTAGTCGAGTGTAAAACGTAAATTAAGTACACAACAGAGTAACCACAGGTGTTTGATATCATACACACCTATGCAACTAAAACCAAATACCCAGCATATAATGAACAGATTTATTACAAAAAAAAAATTACATAAAAGAAATAGAAAAAGTGATGGGAAAAATTGGATGTCGGGTATATCCTGGGAGTCTCTCCTACTACTCTTGCTGCTCCACTTGGTAGCTGCCAGTGGTGCGAGTAGGCGATTGAGGAGTGTGTGGGCCTCACCACCGGTCAGGACACGGGCACGTCGAGACAGCACAGCAATCACCAGTGGCCATGCAAGAGTCACGTCTACACCCATGCATAGGAAGCTGGAAGCTACCTATCCTTGCTCTTCACCTCGTATCCTTGCCTCATTCTTGCTACGAAAATCTATCTCCTGTCATGGAATTTCCCAGGAATTTTTTTTCTGCCTTTAAAATGCTTAGATGTGAGAAGGAATCTTCTCTCTAAACCAACATTAACCCGGGAATATTACTAGACCCAAAGCATTATTTGAGACTATTACCATCAACCTTTGAGAAAACCAATGATAATTGTCAAAGGCTTCTGTCAAATCTAGCATGACATTTCTGCAAATCAAAGCTTCCTGCCAGTAGCATTCGTAGCAATAAGGTCAGCATGTGACTTGACCACAACAGGTGATTGCTTTAGCCTGCTATTCTTTGTGCCGCTGCTGTTGCTTCTGTGCCTGCTGTGGGTGCCCTTCTGTTACTCCACTTGCTGTTTTGCTGCTCTGGTGCGCTGCTTCATCGCCTTCATGCGCCAGGGGATCTCTTCAAGTCTGCCATCAGTACGGCTGCAGATAACACACACGTTGTTCAATATGGCACGACAAATTTACATGCAAATTTTTTAAATCACAATTTCTTGAAGACTATCTGGGTTAGTTACTGGGCAGACATTTTACAGATTTCTATATTTATTGAAACATCAGCAAGTAATATCAAAGGCAACGAGTTCACCTTATGAGACGCCAATTTAGGCCAAGAACAGCCAGACATCAAATTGGTTGAAATATTTCTATAGCAGTTAGGCCATGTGATCTAGTTTAACCCTTTGGCTGTGCCCCTGTTTATAAGACACAACACCCTAGAGCACGATATAAAGTCCCCTTTAATAATATTAAAATGTGCTCCCTGATCATGAGGAAATCTTGCAATAATGTCACAATTCATGAGCATTTATGGAGGAATCATTGAAGATGCATGAGGTGGGAGTTGCTGGAAAGATATTTTTGACATTTATTTCAATGTCTCTGATTTATATTTTCTCTTTTTTTTCTGCATTATTCAATAGTGTGACATTTGAGAAATTTATATAACAAAATGTGTGGACATCGGTATGCTTAAATATATTCATGTCACTAATATGCACACCATATATTCCTAGGAAAATAAAGCATATTTTTGCTGTTACTGCACTGTATATACTCAATATACAGTATATATATATATAACTACATTTTTATGCACCATAATAAACACTCTGATGGGTGGTTCATCCATCAGTGATTTATTATGGTGCCACTCCAAGAACCACTCTAAGAACTCTGATGGGTGTAATAATCTCAGTTAAGTCTAGCCCTGAATGTTTTACATGAAGGTACAACTGCACGCATTGCTTATGTTTGCCGCGGAGACAAATCATCCAGCAGTGGGCCCACTGAAGACGACGAAAAGCGTGAATGTGAATGTGCATGTGTGTAGCCGTGTTCTATTGAATAGGTACTCTGTAAAATTTGCGAACATGTTTTCTCATATTTCGTGGTGCTTTAAGATTCAAATCCGAAAAATTTCGAAAATTTACGAAAAATTCTGAAAAATACTACAACGTTCTGGCAACACTGTGGTGCAAACCGTTTTATGTTATCTTGAAAAATAACGTAATTAGAGTCAAATTTCCCGCTGCAAGTTTCCCCATTCCGGTTCTCGCGGCCTGGGTGCGCCGTGGGGTATTGCGTCTTACGTTGTAGAAGTGAGACCCAGCGAGACTGGAGGACTTTTGACTCGGAACCAGTGCGTCCATTTTGAGCAAGACCTTCTCACAAAGCACTGGTCAATGACCAAGTGCATGTTTGTGAGTTTACAAACACATGTCAGAGTTTATGAGTGAACATTTTCTCCCAAGCATCATTAGAGCTCCTATAATTGTCCTTTGACTAAAATGGTGGTTGTGTTAAGTAGCAGTTATTTGTGGAGCAGTCGTAGTGAAGTGTTAAGTTTAGAAAACACAAACAATGGGTTATAGACTAGCTTATACGATGCTCCTTCAAGTAAAAATGGTCATCCACATGTGTAAATGCTTCTGTGTTTTACAGTAAATAAACTAGTTATTGTATGGTAAATAAACTAGTTATTGAAAGAGAAACATGGTTGTATCAGTGAACCCCTCCTCCCTCATACAGAAATCTGTCATCCCAATAAACAGGAATCCATATTACACTGGACCTCCTCATTCCAAAAATACTGATGGAACCAATTCCGATTCCCTGGCTTCACCAGGTTGAGTCAAATATGGCCTATAATCTGGCAGGATTCACCGAGAATTCTAAGCTATTGCTCTAAGCATGTTACACTTGTCAACAATCACCGAGCAGTTGGGCCTCCGGCATTGGCACCACTGTATACAGAGAAACATCTATATGCTTCTGCAGACGAGGAGTCACAATAACGTAGCTGAAATATGTTGACCAAACCCCACACTAGAAAGTGAAGGGAAAACGATGTTTCAGTCCATCCTGGAATCGACTTTATTCCACACAATTGGAGCATTCCATACAATTTCATTCGGTCCACACAATCAACTTGAGAATGGTCCAAGACGGACCGAAAGTTTGTCGTCCCTTCACTTTTTAGTGTGCGGTTTGGTCAACATCTACATGCTTAAGCATACATCTTTCAACATGTACACAGTCAATTTAACTTTATATTGTAATACACAATTCCCTTTCACTGAAACCAGCTTTCAACCTACAACCATTGTTGTTTATTTTCATTGTAATTATTCTATAACTAAGATTCATACCGATATCACTTTTGATATCACTATTACTAAAAAAATCTCATTTGTTATCACATATTGCATATGCAATAGTTACCACCACTTTTACTCTCTCAAACTGGAATTTCAGACACTTCAAACTACATTGAGAGAAGTTATTTTCCTACCCCCATACTGCTTTTCACTCATTCACAAAGAAAATACTGTACTTTTAATTTGATAGTAGGACTAGTTGATAAAAATTTAGGCCTCTTGTAGTTTCCTTTAATCACATGATGTCTAAGTTTTCATCCTATAATTATCCATTCTCCCCCTCACCATCTTGCCTTCCCACTTACCTTATGTCAACTTCCTCCCACTCATTCTGTCATGACTTTATAAACTTTCCAACCTTACAGTCCTTGAACACTTCCACATTATTCTACTTATCATTTATTCCTCTAACATTACCTAGGCCAAAGACCTCCTCCCTTTTAGTGAAAAGCCTTCTAGAAAAATGGGTCCCTAGCCAAATCCTCCATAACCCATATAATACCATGGACATGGGGATTGACTGCACCTCATAGTGGTAGGATCACACAACTTCTATACCTGCTTGATGGGGTTCTGGGAGTTGTTCTACTCCCCAAGCCTGGCCTGAGGCCAGGCCTGACTTGTGAGAAACCAACATAACTTATTATCAATTGAGAAACATTGTCGTACCTGTGAGAAGTGGTGCGTTTGTGATGCTGGTGTGAAGAACGCACGGTCACCCTGGTAAGTAGAGTCTTGGGAGAGGAGGCCATCTGTCTGGCTTTGGAACTGGTCAACCATGTATGAATCTTGAGACAATTCTGCCTGAGACAGTCCTTGGGACAAACCACTCAGTCCAGGTCCAGACATACCCTGTTCAAAATAGTCACATTAACTTCTTTTCAAAAGTACCTCATACATGTGAAAACACTTTTAGTACAGTATAAAGAGACTGATTCTCATCTAATGCTACAGATTATGACAACTCATTTATCCTAAAATATAAATGCTAATTTTTAATTGAAATCATCAAACGGAATGTATCAACAGAACCACTCTTTTTAGAGAAAACCAATGTTGATTGTAATGAAACTCCTCTTTCAAGTACAGCTCGGTGGTTTTCTGAAGCTAGCCACACTAAGAACTCCACACACGAGTTACAACAGCCCCAAGAATCCTTATTTGCTTACCAAGACCAGAGACAAAATGTGTACCTTTCCCTCACAATGGCACAGAGAGCAGAGGATTCTTTACCTGGAGAGGGTTTCAACAGTTCTTCTACTCCCCGAGCCTGGCTTAAGACCAGACTTAACATGCGATAATTTGGTACAACAGGTTGTTGCTTCAAGCGGCCAGCAGGGCCACATATCCACTACAACCCATTTAGTCTGGCACTTTATAGACAAACATCTAATTGCTTTTTGAAGAAGCCCACCTTTGTTCCAACAATATTTCTAGTGCTTGCTGGGAAAGTACTGAACAACTGTGGAGCTCTGAATTTCAGACAGTATTCTCCATGTGTGCCTATAGGACCTCTATCTACTCTTCACTGCCTTTATTCTACATTTCCATCCATATTGTTCACTCCACCATGTTGTAATTTTACTGTGTAAATTTTACCTGGCCCTCCAGTATTTTCCATGTATATATTATTTGGTACCTCTCTTGTCTCCTTTTTGCAGAGTACATTTTGAGAGCCAAGACTAATCAATAATTTTCATTAACATCTTGAGGTTATCCCGAGATGATTTCGGGGCTTAGGGTCCCCGCGGCCCGGTCCTCGACCAGGCCTCCTTTTTGTTACACATCCCCAGGATGCAGCCCGTAGCAGCTGTAACTCCCAGGTACCCATTTACTGCTAGGTAACATGGGTGTCAGGGTGAAAGAAACTCTGCCCATTTGTTTCCGCCTCCACCCAGATCAAACGTGGAACCTCAGGACTACGAATCCCGAGCACTGTCCACTCAGCTGTCAGGCCCCTTTGTACAAGCTCACCCCCTCTGGCAGCTCATTTACATAAATTAGAAAGGGCAGAGCACTGTGGACCACCACTTTCCACTCCACTTCACTTCAGCCTCACTGATCCTCTATGACCTTTTCTTTTCTGTTCGTCAATTACTCCCATACCCAGTCTCCTGTAATCCCCACTGGTCTCTCCATCTTGTTTATTAATGTTTTGTGAGGAATTTTATCAAAAGCTTTCTGTTCATCTAGAAACTTGGAGCATTACAGCCTACCCATTCTTCCTTCTCTTGTCTTATTTTGGTTACCCTGTCAGAGTTCAATTACGTTTATTAATAAGCATGACTCTCTCTCAGAAGGGAAAATTCTGCCCATATCAAATTTAATTTCCCTAAACGGTCTACAATACTTTTCCTTGTGACTTTTTCCAGTTTTTGCATGGAATACACATTAATAACATAGGGCTAGTTTTGTGCTTTATGTTTGTCCTCTTTTGTGAATCAAGCGTTTCGAAGGTCACGCCGCTGATTGCGGGTGGGAAAGATCAAAGTGGGCACTCGCTCTTAGTGCAGTGTTAAAGGGAAGGGCACTAACTATCTACCACAGTCTGGGTCCGCACCAGCGCGGAGATTACGAGGCATTGACAACAGCGCTGCTGAACGGTTTTGGCATCACTGCAGACCGGATGCTAGAGAATTTCCGTAGGGCTCAATTGCAAAAAGGAGACACATGTGTGTTAATGTTACAGCGGTTAGAATCGAGTCTAAACCGTTACTGTGAACTCATGGAGACTGCTCCTGGAAGCATGGAGTTCTATCAACTGATGATTCGCGAACAGTTCTTAGAAGCATGCGAATTGTCTCTGCGTGTCAAGCTCAAAGAGCAAGAAATTGCGTCAAATCTGTCTATGGCCAAGCAAGCTGATCTGTGGGCTGGGGCCAGGAGACAGATGAAGGGTGATGACAGGGTGAAGCCGCACGAGAAGCATCATGCTACAGGTATTGGCGAAGGAGCTAAGCCTAAGACTGGTGTGTTGGGGGAGCAGGGAAACTCCTCCAACAAGCATGTGCACAAGTGCTACACCTGTGGTAAGCCAGGTCATCGTGCAGCTGATTGCAAGGTAAAACCGAAATTAGGTTACATAGCAGGTGTGAGCTCAAGTGGTAAGAAACATCCCAACGTTGGAAAGGATCCACTAGCTTGGACCCTTGAGGTAGTAGACGGAAATGTTAACGGAAAATTGGCGAAAATCTTCCGTGACAAAGGCGCCACTACTCACATGGTAAGACAGAGCCTAGTACAGCCAGGATCTGAGACAGGTAGACATATCCATATCAAATTCCCAAATGGCTATACTAAAGAGATGGTGGAGGTGTATGTGTGGGTCGATACACCTTACATCAAAGGTAAAATCCGTGCCGTTCAACAGGAATGTGCTGTATATGGACTTTTATTGGGAAATGGTCCAGGTATCTCTGATTGCCCAAGTCCGCCCTCAAAGAAAACGGGGGAGCGTGAGGACGCTGCCTCAGCTGTGTGCAGTCGTCCTCAGTCAGCTGATGCCAAGGGTGACTCGCCCGGGGATGACGTCACGGAGTGACCACACCCTTACCCAGCTGAAGAATAAGGGAGAGAAAGCAAGCTGTGATGTAAAGGTGAAAGAAGCAAAAGAACGCAACATGCTCAAACGCTACGAGGACCCTCCTGTAGATGGATCCAACAAGCCGAAGAAGCATGTAAGACGTAAGAACAGGAGAGGATCGCGGGGCTCGACATGGACAGAGCCGATCGACCACCCACTGCTCTCAGCAACGATCGCCGGTGTCTCAGTGATAACCGCAGACGAGGAGGTAGGTCAGCCAGGTCTCTTCAATCAACAGCAGCAGGAGACACACCGAGATGTTAAGGTTGATGATCAGCTGTCTGAAGATCAAGTCGACCAGGTTACTCGACTGGTAGCAGAGAACAAGGAGGTACTCTCTGACATCACTAAGGTAGCAAAGGTAGAGGGTTACCGCATACCTTTGCTAGAGCAGCAAGCGGTACGAACAAAGCCATATTGGACAGAAATGGAGAACTCGGCATTTTCGACGCTCAAGAAGAAGCTGACTGAAGCACCCATCCTTAGACTACCAGATTCTACCAGGGAGTACATCCTCCGGACAGATGCCTCAAATACAGGTATTGGTGCTGTACTCATGCAAGAGTACAACGGTGAAATCTGGCCAGTTGCGTACTCCAGTCGTAAATTGAGCGATGCTGAGCAGAAGTACTCCACTATAGAAAAGGAACTCCTTGCTGCTGTCGTGGGAGTAAGGAAATTCTACCAGTATCTCTATGGTAAGCGTTTCACGTTACAAGTAGATCACCAACCCCTCAGCCACATCGGTACGCTTAAAAACGCAAACCCTAGAATAATGCGCTGGGTGTTGTTCCTTCAACAGTTCACATTCCGCATGGTTTACATAAAGGGAGCTGACAACATAGGTGCTGACTGGTTGAGTAGGTCAGGGGTGATTAACGAGACGTCGAACGAGGGAGACATAAGCGAGGAAATACAATGCGCATCACCGGACACTGGTTCCCAGTGTGTGTCTGATGTTTCAGGCATGACACAGGTGGAGAGAGGCAGTGGACAGACTAGCGCCACTCAGGTTATCTTCTTGGGTTATCTTGGGATGATTTCGGGGCTTTTTAGTGTCCCCGCGGCCCGGTCCTCGACCAGGCCTCCACCCCCAGGAAGCAGCCCGTGACAGCTGACTAACACCCAGGTACCTATTGTACTGCTAGGTAACAGGGGCATAGGGTGAAAGAAACTGCCCATTGTTTCTCGCCGGCGCCTGGAATCGAACCCAGGACCACAGGATCACAAGTCCAGCGTGCTGTCCGCTCGGCCGACCCGAGCGTTTCGTTTCGGGTCCCGAGCAGGGTTTCGAGGCGTTGAGCCGACCCAAAGCTGAAGCTCCGTCCGACCACAGTGCCTGCTCAAGACCTGAACAGAGAGCCACATGTGACCCGGTGACTGAAGAAATTCCTCACTTAACAGAAGAGAATAGTTTAGACGAGGCCCCGCCTTGCCTAGCAGTATAGAAAACGGGGTCTGCTCGACCCGGCTGCGCCACGTGCACTCAGTGTGTGTGCAGTGCTGTCAGCGATGTGGTCTGAACGAGCACCAATATGTGGGCTCGGTCTTTGTTGGGGGGTGTTGTGATTCTCTCTCAAGATTCTCCCACAGCCGACTTGAATGGCTCATTACAGTGCATAGTGCACTGATCTTCGTGCACAAGCCTCTCTCTCTTAACCCTGGATAGTGACCTGGCATGTTGGGTATCTCCAGAATGCCCACTTAACCAGGAACACTTTCTTAATACGGAGGCCGCCGTATGTCCAGGCAGGAAGTAGATACAGGGAGTTAAGCATACTTGCCACCAAAGGTCAGTGGGTACATTGGCCGCGTGAGAGACAGTAGAGGGGACATGCCTACGAGGCGACCGTCTGACCTCTGGGGTCAACCGGTGCGATGGTGAATAACAGCTATGACGTGGTCGTGACGTGTTCATGACGTCACTCCTGCTACTGCTCATCGAACGAGCTAATATGATTGGTTCCCGCCCATTTGCTGCAATGATATTGGTCAAATTGTAATCCCCTTGTGTGTGCCCCACAAGATGCCCTGAGCTTCAGGCAAAACCCATTCTTGTGAGGGATCTCTTGCATAGAGGACGTGTCCTGTTCTGTCTAACAGCCAATAAATAGAAGAACACTGTCTATTCCTCACCGTCAAGTTAACTCAGCATCTCTACGATATACTACACACTCGCCCAGAATCACGAGTGTGAATATATAGTTCAGAAGCCTAAAGTGACAAATCTCCAGAGCGAAACAGACGGTATTAGGTAACCCCTGGTGACAAAGATCGTTGTGAGTGACTTAGAGTGAACTAAGGCAGTGCCGCCGCCTAAGTAACCTGTGTGTGACTTTACCACAAGTGTACCTGCATGGTACCACAGCCGCCGCCAGCCGCCACTCGTCCCGAGCGTGTACCTCAGTACCTTGAGGCGCCCGCCACCGCCCTCACTACTACGTGACGTCACCACCTTATTCGCCGTCAGTGCCAGTGTGTGTGCGCGCGTGTCTCTGTTAAGCATACAGCACGCCCTACTGCAAGTACCCTCCGTTTCTACAAGCGAAACCAGCTGTCAGGCCACCTACGAGTGCTTGTATAAATGTGCCTGAGTGAGTAAGGAATGGTACCCTATCTGTAAGTACAAGATCTTGTCATTGTTTTATTGTGTCTGTGTTCATCTGAGGGATCAACCACAGTTCTCACCTTCTCATACCTGTCACAGGTCATAGGTGAATCGACGGTGTATGCGTGTTTATCTGTGTGGTATCACTGCATTTCACTAGTCTGGGAATGTGACCTTCACATACACCACACATTTAGTTATTGTGTGTGATTATTATTGTGCATGTTATTGCCTGTCCCATTGACAGTATGTTTGTTGATTTATTGTATATCATTATTACCGAGTATCCAGTTGGAACTCTTGTGATCCCTTTGCATACTGGCAGTTAGGTTGCCGTGTTAATGATTGGCTGTCAACTGTTAAGTTAGGCGTTTCCCCACGAGTGGATACGAGTCGTTTAGCCAGACGTCAATAGTCTCGCTAATACAACCATAGCTTTGCTGACGCCAATCTAAAGTAAATCAAGCACCCTGTGTATTAGTGGTTAAGTTAGTAAATAAACTACTGTTAAGCTTTATGCAGTGTTTCCATTGAACCACTTCTGAATACTGCCAACATTACTCAAGCCTTCAGCTCTAAGTGTCTTCAACACCGAGTTGCCTATAAATCACTAAACTATAAATGTGATGAGGACCCCAGGAGTCCCTCAAAGTGTTAAATCATTGAGGAGATTTCAACGATCAACGTGGAGCAGGACCAGGTGAGGCTAGTCTGAGAAGAGACCCTCAAGGACTCTAACTCGGCCTTGCTCCCAGGCCCTGTACAGTTGCTCTCGTATTTTCTATTCTGCTAATTCCGACAGCTTCGTGAAGCGTCTGCCACACGTACATTGGCGACGTACGCATTGCAGTCGTGAAAGCAAAAAAAGAAAACACCCACACTGTCTAGTGTTGTTTCCAGTCATCTGGTTCCAGTCATCTGTTGCCACCCCTACTTGGACACCAACTTGGTTCTGGTTGTAGACCTGGAACCTCTTGTCGAGTTCTTCACACGCTTCTTAATCATTCTCCGAGAGTCTTCCTATCTGTCCTTGCAGTCTGACCACATGGTCTCAAACCATTGTTTTCCTCCGTATATGGCTACGTAACAGCATGTATACTGTACATCAGTGGTTGAGTGTGGGTATTTGTGGGTGCTGAGAGCATATGGTTGATATTATGGGTGTGATGAAGGAGAGTACTAGTCAAGTGAGGATAAAAGCAAGTGGGTAAGAGTGTGGGGCATACCTGGAGAGGGTTCTGGGAGTAGTTCTACTCCCCATGCCTGGCCTGAGGCCAGGCTCAACTTGTGAACTAGACTTGGCAAGTAGAGGTGGGGATAAAGATGGGGGTGAAAGCCGTTTAACACTTGGAAAGCAATGAATATTGTAAATACACCAATATATTATAAGAGATATTCCTTATATTAGTGATAAATTCTCTTCGCTTACCCTCTTCTGATTTTACCATCAAAGATACATGTCTAGAGTATGTTTTAACACTAAAATGACTAGTATATTCTGGATATAGGGCTACAATATCAATAAGAACCTCAGTGTTGTAGGTTTCAAGTCTATACAATACTCCTTTCTCAAATGATGTAGATATGAATGAATCAGAGTGGCTATTGCATTACATTACTAAACTTCCAATATCCGCCAAACATTATTTGCTTGAACTCAAGTAGTTTATAGTCAATACAATGGAGCACACATACATGGAAGAGTTTACCGAACAAAGAATGAAACACTGCTATCAGAAACGCGTACAAAATATTAATAACTGTGATGCGAGATGATGGTACCTGTGACAAGTGCCCCTGTGTGAGGCCAGGCTGAGAATAGTTCTGCATTGAGGGGTCTTGACTGAAGGGTTGCGACAGCTGAAGAGTCCCCGCTCCGCCCATGTTCTTCGTAAGCTTCCTGGACCCGGCTCTACCCCCACGTGCCCCGCCACGGCCACCCCGGGCTTGTGCCAGAGCCTGCTGGTGTTGCTGATAGAATCGTGGAGGCACGTGGGCCATGTTCATGAACATGCCAACTGGTACGGGCAAGTTATTGAGCCCAGGTTGTGAATGATCAGTAGAGATGTAATCTAGGGAATCGTGTGCACGCCCGTACATGTCAAACTGAGGTCCTGGTGAAATAGAAGACATACGTGGTTATTTTTTTCCTGTAAACAAACTGATGAATTAAAAACAAATAGCAAAGTACTGAAATTAGTGCAGGCGATGAGTCACAATAACGTGGCTAAAGTATGTTGACCAGACCACACACTAGATGGTGAAGGGACGACGACGTTTCGGTCCGGCCTGGACCATTCTCAAGTGAATGGTCAACTTGAGAATGGTCCAGGACGGACCGAAACGTCGTCGTCCCTTCACCTTCTAGTGTGTGGTCTGGTCAACATACTGAAATTAGTTTTTATATATGCATATTCATAATAATTTATAAACAACTATCAATGGTAATACCTCTGAAATATGGTGAAGTTGTGGGAGCAGAACCATTGATAGGGCCGGAGCGATCATACATGGAACCAGGAACCATGGCTTCTCTGGCATCATACATAGCTGTGTTCATGAAGTGAGAACCTGGATTGGTGGCATTGATAAGCCTTTTTGGTTTGCTGAACTGCATCATTGATTCTTTCAAGTTGTTCAGTGGACCTTCCACCAGGACCTTCTTCTCCTTAAAATGATGCAGCAGATGGTTCCATAACCCTTGCTGTTAGAGAAGGATTTGTTTTATGTATTCATTCTGCACATACGATACAGGTAATATTTACAAGCGAGCCATAGATGTTAAATAAAACCTCAAGTGTTAGGGAAAAAAAGGAAATCAAAGTTATAAATTTTAAATCAACATAATCAGTAAAAAGAAAAAGAATGATGTAGAACCAACACCAATAAGTTACTGTATACCTATTCCGCCTATTTTTATGTCCTATCACTTCTCGTGTACCGTTCCCAGCCAATTCATCATATGTTCATTATGTTCACCTACTTCTTGGCCTTCCTCTACCCCTACTAACTGTGTTCTCCGAACCACTCTACTGTGCTCCACTTAAGTCCCATATCCATACATAAAATGAAGGCAGCATCACTCCTCTGTGCTTGTGTCTCCGCCACATACAAGGTACCACTCCTCCGAACTTATATCTCCAGCATCTTTCCTGTTATCCCCACTTGTCTCACAATTTTGTGTATTAATCTTTTGTGAGAAACTGTATCAAAAGCTGTTTGACAATCTTGGTGGGCTCAACAAGCCTGTCCTTTAAAAGGCACATTGCAAATCCACTTGGGAGTAGTCTTGGCCTGAAGGCAAGACACCCAGGTACTAGGGCCATTTGCCAGAAGATACTAAATACAACCTACAGGACAAACTTAGCCAAGAGGGGCATCTGCAGCGTGCCGTAAAAACAAGCACACAACAAGAAACTGTGTACCCCCAACTGCAAGGTCCAGCAGAGGAGTTTTTAACAGCTGGTGCACTACCGTAGGCAAGGGGGGGCCCGACAGCTGAGTGGACAGCGCTCGGGATTTGTAGTCCTCAGGTTCCAGGTTCGATCCCTTGTGGAGGCAGAAACAAACGGGCAGTTTCTTTCACCCTGATGCACCTGTTCACCTAGCAATAAATAGGTACCTAGTAGTTAAGACAGCTGCTACAGGCTGCTTCCTGGGGGGTCTGTAACGAAAAGGAGGCCTAGTCATGGACTGGGCTGCGGGAACACTAAGCCCCAAAATCATCTCAAGACAACCTCAAGAAGGCTCTCCAACCCAGTGGCCTGGCATCTCTGGTGCAAACTCCTGAATAAACCAAGAGCCTGATCCCTAAACAAAGAAAAATATTAGAATCATCCTTTTGTTATATCATTCACCCTATATAGCAGAGCAAATGATTGAGATTAGGTCAACGAATAGGTGCAAAATGATATTTGCACAAATTGAACGACCATTGGGAGCCATTATGGTTAACAATTCACAGTGAAAATTCTATAGCATCTGGGAAGCAATGATGCAATTATTGCCATTTCCAGGATATTATATTCGTGAAGTAGGATTTTCTACTCCTGCCTTCATAAAGGCCACAAAACAAAACTATTTGCTGAACCCCAAACACATGTTCTGTCTCCTATTACTTCCAATTCTGCACAGTTTGTAAGATGAAGCAATGGCACTTTTCTCACTGGCAGGGATCTGGGTGATGAAATATTCATGATGAATAATTACCAAATCTTTCGTGGTTGCTAAAATGTTTAGAGAAGTTTAAAAATAAAGACATTGCATCAAACATATTGTTTGCTTCCTATTTACCTACACTGGGTAAAAAAGAACTTTCTGATGAGCAATTATGGGTAATGAAGGAAAACGTTTGGAAAGCAGTGCCATAAAGCATCAACTAACAAGCACCACCACACATCAGTGGCATATGCCAGGCTGGCCAACATACGAACAGCATTCAGAAACTTGTGTAAAGAATCATTCGGAACTTTGTATACCACATATGTCAGGCCAATCCTGGAGTATGCGGCTCCAGCATGGAGTCCATATCTAGTCAAGGATAAGACTAAACTGGAAAAGGTTCAAAGATTTGCCACCAGACTAGTACCCGAGCTGAGAGGTATGAGCTACGAGGAGAGACTACGGGAATTAAACCTCACTTCGCTGGAAGACAGAAGAGTTAGGGGGGACATGATCACCACATTCAAGATTCTGAAGGGAATTGATAGGGTAGATAAAGACAGTCTATTTAACACAAGGGGAACACGCACAAGGGGACACAGGTGGAAACTGAGTGCCCAAATGAGCCACAGAGTTATTAGAAAGAACTTTTTTAGTGTCAGAGTGGTTGACAAATGGAATGCATTAGGAAGTGATGTGGTGGAGGCCGACTCCATACACAGTTTCAATTGTAGATATGATAGAGCCCGATAGGCTCAGGAATCTGTACACCTGTTGATTGACGGTTGAGAGGCGGGACCAAAGAGCCAGAGCTCAACCCCCGCAAACACAACTAGGTGAGTACACTAACAGTCTCCCCCCCCCCCCACCCCCTTCATAAAACTTATCTTATATTTTTTTCTTATGGCTCTTCTGGAAGGGTTATACAGTGTTTAAACAAATGCACTCACATATCAATGCCATACACAACCTACCTTAATACCAAAAGTAAACTCAACTCATATTAAACTCAATATATTTCCTAATTTTATTAAGAGTTTGAATTACATCTTACTACATTGTTCATTACAGGTACTTAATTAAATAAAGTAGTGCCATACAGATGAACTATGAATACCACGTTTCAAATATGCTTACCTTAGAGAGTACTTTGGGATTGCCGACAATGATGATGCCATAACGAGCGCGAGTCAGGGCCACATTAAGTCTTCGGGGATCAGAGAGAAAGCCAATACCCTGATGTTCGTTGGACCGCACACACGACATGATAATGAGATCCTTTTCCCGACCCTGAAAGGCGTCCACACTTGCAACCTCTAAACGCTGATAAAGCTTCTGGTTTAAAGGCCCTTGATATTGCATATACTGAACCTAGAAAGAAATATTTTTATATTAAAATATACATTTCATATTAACTGCTTCACTATGTAGTACATAAAATATCTTAAAATAGTGTATACAGTGGTACCTCAGAATGCGAGTGTCCCTGTATGCGAGTTTTTCGGAAGACTAGCAGGATTTACTCCAAAAATATGTCTCGGAAGGCGAGGGTTACCTCGGGACGCGAGTTTGTTGATACGTGTACAGGCCGACTGGCGCATGGTGGCATGGCGATCGCGCCTCAGTTTACCAGTGTCTCGTGTCCAGTGACTATCCCACCTGAATTCTTCACAAGGATTTACAGTTTTTTATCGGTTTTTTGGCCATTTGAGTATAAAAGTTGTCATTATATATCTTGCCATGGGTCTCAAGAAAGCCATTGGTAAGGTTCAACCTAAGAAAATAGCTGTGAGTAGAGGCAGTAGAGGATGTCCCTTCTTGATTAAGAAAATGTGTGAAGTATGGGAAGAACTGCAAAGTTTTGTTGAAAAAACTCACCCAGATAAAGCTGTAGCAGGCCGTTGCATTGACCTTTTAAATGATAATGTGATGTCTTACTACAGACAAGTGTTAAAATGTAGGGAAAAACAAGTGTCATTAGACAAATTCTTAGTAAAACAAGCAAGTCCTAGTGGTATGCAGGCAAAATGTGCCAGTGTGCATACCAGTGAAGTCCTCACTGCCTGATGTGATAATGGAAAGGGACTCCCCTTCCAAACAGTAACTCCTCTCTTCCTCCCACCTCCTCACCATCTTCCATACGCCTACAGCATTCAACAGCATGGTAAGTAATAACTTGAACATAGTTTTGTAGGTTTATTTAGATGAATTAGGTATAAAAATTTAGTTTGATGTGGGGTTTTTGGGGTAGTCAGGAACGGATTAATTCATTTCCCTTTATTTCTTATGGGGAAATTAGCTTCGGAATGCGAGTTTTCGGAATACGAGGCGTCTCCAGGAACCAATTAAACTCTTAAACTGAGGTATGCCTGTACTCATTCAGTAACAGCATATCATTAAAATAATCTTTTCTAATTTCATTGCTGGCAATGTATATGACAAAAATTACAGACATGTAGCGAAAACAAATAACAAACTCCTAACTTTCCTCTACTTAAAAGTTCCACAAAGCGCACATCTCAAGTGATGCTTTAGAAAAGGGTTATTTAATTAGTTTAGGACTCGGAACAGATTATGAAACAAATTGACAGAATTTTGTCCCCCCAGTAAATTTAAACATGGAAACACACAACAATATGTTACCGTATTTACTCTCAAATGATTCACCAAATCTGTCAAAGGGCCACTGTAAATGGCTTAGGGACATCATTTGGTCTATGGGCCTTAGTGCAATAAAAATATATATAGATGTCACTTGTCCATACTTAGAGGGATACTTAGTTTAGAGGGATAAGTCTTATCCCTCTAAACCTGTCACAATCTTATAATCAACTCCGGAGACGTTCATCTACCTTTCTCAATGAAGAGTATATATTTCAAATGTTGAGACTACATTTCATGTCTATGGCTTAATAACAGTAACTGAAAATTGCAAGGAGGCATGTATTTGGCATAGGTAAGTCATCACTATCTGCAGAGATATAATGCAGAGTCAGAAACAGCACACACAATATATTTATACATGGTTTAAAAAAAAAAATTGTTCATACTTGGATCATATCTAGAATGGGTTCTGGGAGTTGTTCTACTCCCCAGACCCAGCTTGGCTTGTGACAGCTTGGTCCAGAGGACAGTTACTAGGAGAGATCTGCAGGTCCACATACCCGCTATAACCCATTACTTTTTGAGTGGTAGTATTCTAACCAATTAGATGTATTTACTCAACATTACAATTATAAAAAGAAAGGTTTGAATTACACTTCTGTACACAAGGATCTTGGGGTAACTTTCTGAAGCAAGTAATTAAGTCGAATCCTGTCTGCTCGTTTTAACCTTTAGATACCACATTTCCGGGCTGGCCCTCCGTAGCTTGTTGGTGCACTGGTTCTGGTACCACAGACAACCACACAACTGCTAGGCCTCTAAACTCTCACAAGCCTACTAAACATCTGCACCAGAATCTGGTGTGCTCATAGACGTGAGAGAAGTAAGAGAGTTAAAACATCTGCCCCATAACGTAGTAAAACCTAACAACAAAATACAGGAAAAGGCAAACCAAATGATGTCCAATGTTAATAAACGAAGTGCAAGTAATTTAGTAATGTTAATCTCAATTTATATGATAAGGAGTGAATGAATTATACAAAGAAATATATGAAACCATGCATAGTGTAGATTGTATATGATTATGAGGAAGTGCAAGTCCCAAGTAATTACTGTATATATGTTCCAACGATGTTAGGATTCAATGTATAATTTGAGAAAAGTAAAAAATATTCTGGAATATTCAAGACTTAAGATAGTTTTTTCACTCTATTCAGCATCTAATTTGATTAGAAAGTATGACTGAAAACAGATGGGAATTTAATGAAGAAGAAATAGACAATAAGTCAAAATATATTGTGCAAGCAGAATGGAAAAAAACTTTCAATATAACCAGTTTTTTACTGACCAAATCCTTTCATGAATCTCTACTACACTTCTTTTCTGTTCACTCACTGCCACAGCTTGTCAAGTCTTATCAGATATTCATATTTCTTAATGAAAGTAGCAACTGCATCCCTCACATGACAAAACCTAGCCACCAAAACCTTGCGAGACTTTCGTAAGACAACCAACTTAGAACTGAGACAGGATGCAAGTAAACAAGGTAAATAGATACTATTAATTCTACTTTATTTAAAATAAAAATGTAGTGTATTATTATTATTATTATTATTATCCTATGGGAAAAAGGCAAGATATATAAATAAAGAGTGTACTAACCAGATAAGCCCTTTGGCCTTCATACGGTGTGATAACGCCTATCTGTTCGGGCTTCACACCGCAGTTCAGGAAGCGGGTTACCAACTTTTCCACGCTGGCTGCCTCCGTGCGATTCAAATAAGAAGTACCCGAGCCAGCGATTTCTTCCTGGCCTGATGTAACATAGAAGAACTGAGGCTTGTCTGCTTGTGGCCAAGGAAAACTTACACCCTTCATTGTGCGATCCGCTGTGAATGAAGGAAAATATATAATCGTCAAATTTGGATATAAATACAAAAATAGAAATTTAAAAGTCTTGTGTACATACATCTAACGTTGAAATTGTCATATTTTGAGTCTCAAAATATGTAGAAACTTTGAAGGGTATTATTAGTAATACATAGAACACAACCCAAACATATCAAAAGATAGATATGATGTTTTGGTTTACTCTGGACCCTTGTCAAAGCCAGGACAGAGTAAAACAACATCATTTTCATTTCACGTATGTTCGTTGTGTCATTTGTTTTGAGCCATATTATTGTGACTCTGCAAAAAAATACGTACATGTATTTTCTATAGCGCCATTCCACTATAAAATGGGGCGAATGAAGCACATACATACATCCTCTTGTCTAATTTGCACAATCAAAACAAATGAAGCACATACATACATCCTCTTGTCTAATTTGCACAAGCAAAACACTCAAGTGATTGTGTCAAAATGAATTGCCGTGTATTAGGCAACCTCCCACAATTCCTGTGACAATAAATGCCAGTCAATTTATGGTAGAATTTGAGTTCCTACTCAACACACACTTCTGTATGGTTGGACTGTAAGAGGCTCATCAAGAATGGTATCCCCTGAGCCAATGTATCTCACAATATCAAATGATGATTATAAGAGATAATGATCAATAATGGTTATAAGAGAAGATATAATGACTCTTAGGGAGTGTATTGGGTACAGAGTGGTGAAAGAAACATAGGAAGTGGTAGTGGCTGTGGTGCTGTTTGTGGTAGTGGTGGTGTCTGCAGTTGTGATGGTAGCTGTGATGAAGAAAACTCTCTAGACATGAACAAATCAACAAGGGCCGTGATGAGGGTTCGAACCTACGTCCGAGAGGATCCCAGATGCACCTGGGATCTCTCTAGACATGTTTTCCCTGGTACAAGTCCATCATGCAAGTTGCCGAAATGAAAATTTCACTGAAATTCACCAATAGAGCAAGGGAAAAATTTGGACCTGACTTGACAAATCCAGAGTTAACAATTGGACCCAACATTTGGTAATGGTCGAGGTGACAGTGACAGAGGTTACAGCACTCGTGTCATTGGGCTAGCCAATAGCAAGTGTATTCATACCTCCTGGACATACAGAACTGGATTGTGCTCTTCAATCTAAGAATCACATACTTTCACTACTTTTGCCAAAAGCTCATTTCACTTTATTATTATTCTCTATGCATATATGTACTTTCTTATACGTTCTCTAGCACATGTGTATTTCCAGTTTTCCCGTGCCCACTGGTTTTGTTGCTAGGTTAACCTCATATTGTCAACTTTATTGAGATGATTTGTCTATACTGGTTATAAAGTGTACTTTATACTGCTTAAATTAGAAAAATTAAATACACAAATTACATTTGCAAATGATTAGAATTAGCCTTTGTGTTAATATCTCTTGTGGAACCCCCTAGTTACCTTGGGCCAAATTCACGAAAGCACTTATGCAAACACTTACGAACCTGTACATCTTTTCTCACTCTTTGGCGGCTTTGTTTCCAATTATTAAACAGTTAATGAACTCCGAAGCACCAGGAGGCTGTTTATAACAATAAAAACAGTTGAATAGTTAATTTTCATGCTTGTAAACTGTTTAATAAATGTAACCAAAGCCGTCAAAAATTGAGGAAAGATGTTCACGTTCATAAGTGCTTGCGTAACTGCTTTCATGAATCTGACCCCTTGGCCTTAGTTACCCAAGGCCAAACAGCATTTTCATGTGATGCAACCCCCATTTGCATGGAGCAATTTTAACAAGATAGATTCAGGGAGCAGCCAGGAGTTTTCTAAGAAAAAAACATTATAACAATTATATGCATCATTGAGCAGAGCCCCAAGAGTGCCGTATCACATCACCAGCCATCTAGCAAGAGACCAGACCAGGAAAGTGTCAAAACAAAAAATGTGACTTCAGAGATCGACGTGTCAAGATCGTGGCAAACCTACAAGTTCATCCAATATCCCATGCCAAAACTGCATACTACCAAAATCATCATCTTATCTTGAGGTTATCTTGGGATGATTTCGGGGCTTTTTTTTTTTTTTAAGTGTCCCCGCGGCCCGGTCCTCGACCAGGCCTCCACCCCCAGGAAGCAGCCCGTGACAGCTGACTAACACCCAGGTACCTATTTTACTGCTAGGTAACAGGGGCACAGGGTGAAAGAAACTCTGCCCATTGTTTCTCGCCGGCACCTGGGATCAAACCCAGGACCACAGGATCACAAGTCCAGCGTGCTGTCCGCTCGGCTGACCAGCACCCTTATCATGCCCTTCAAAACTTGGTATAAAGTGCTTACCTGAATAGTTAAAAAAAATATTTAGACTTACCGTCAGCAACACCATTCTGAAGAGACCCCTCATAGAAAAAGTTTGAGGGAAACTGTGCCAACTGTGGATGCATACGATACTGGACGGTAAGGCGGAATGGTCTTATGCCCAAAACAACAAGTCTTTCAAAGAGGGACTGGGAGAGGCCTGCCCTTGAGGCTTTCTTGCACATCACAACTGGCCCCAGCTGGCAATGGTCACCCACAAGGATAACTTGCTTTGCACCAAGAACAACCTGAAAAATAAATATTCAATCTACAATAATTTCCAAAGTGAAAATACAAATATGGTTGGATTGAATGAGAAGGGAATTCCATAACTGTTATGCCAGACCAAATTTTATGTAAGAGGCATGCTATTTAAAAATCATAATATTTCACCATAATTTCTTAATAGGGTGGAGCAGTGTGGACTAGAATAGCTGCAGGGTTGTACAAGTGCACGAGATGTAACAAACACAGGGCACAGTGAGAGAGACAGGGTGAATGCAGAAAGTACAAAGGTATACAAATAAGGAACAAAAGACAGCCAGAGAGCATAGGAGACGAGGTGTAGAAAATAGAGCCCTCCCCCTCTATTCAGAGTGCAGAGGAAAGGGGAGGGGAAGTGCTTTGTATGGGAGAGTGTAGATTATAGAGGCAGAGAATAGGGTAAATGCAGAATATTGGGGGAGTGCAGTCTAGAGGTGAGGAGTGCAGAGTATAGTGCAGAATGGGGGAGAGGGAGGGGGGCCAAATTATTGTAATGCTGCCAAGCAATTACGACTATATAGCCCTTGGAAGGGGTCAGGAAAAGGATCTGGGATGGGACGGGGGTAAGGATTGGTGCCCAACCACTTGGACGGTCAGGGATTGAACGGCGACCTGCATGAAGTGAGACCATCGCTCTACCGTCCAGCCCAAATGGTTGGGTGGGGGGTTGGAGTTTGGGGGGGGGTGGTGTTTGCAGAGTAATGCAGGGGAAAGGAGTGCAGTGTGTCAGGGGTGGAGTGCAGAATAATCTTAGCTTTAGCAGCTTGTACACAGGCTTGTATGCTGCAAGAAATGTTCAACAAATTTGGAGATATGACAAATGTAAGGCAATACTACATATTGGAAATTAGAATTTCATACATATACAGATGAGATTGTCAACAATGTGATTTAAAGTTTGGAAGTATCATTATACTCTACATGAATGATTATGAATTTTAATAAAATCACTTTAACTATTCTTTTGATATAAAAATATGGCTTCGCTAGGTTTCCCACACTATCCTTTACAACCAGAACTATTGGAATTACCCTCTGGCATCAGAATGTGCATTATCAGTCTGGAGCACAAGCATTATTAATTTTCTAAATTTCCCTCGTTTCAACAATATGTTAAAATTGCATGCATTTTGACCAAGGGGACTACATTGTCCAATCACATTTCAAACCGACATGTAAATGTATTCTCCAAACATATGTAAACTAAACCACGCACTAGAAAATGAGGACACGACGACATTTCGGTCCGTCCTGAACCATTATCAAGTCGACTGTGATAATGGTCCAACACAATCGCCTTCATAATGGTCCAGGACGGACCGAAACGTCGTCTCCTCCTCCTTTTCTCTTGTGTGGTTTAGTCTTCATATATTCAGCCACGTTATCGTCACTCATCATCTCCAAACATAGTATGGCAAACACCACAAATGTAGACCAAAAATTCTTACAAACCCATAGGACATCCCTAATGGGGATACCTAATTATCTGAACAGTATCAACAAAACAAAACAACACAGGCTTAACGAGACCAGGTAAACACCTACCGGCACCATGCACTCTGGTTCGGTGGCTTGCATAGACTCGTCTATGAGAATGGAGTGGAATTTAAGGCGTGCCAATCTCGGATCACCAGCACCAACACAAGTGCAACAAATGACATCAGCAGCTTCCAGCAAAGTCTGAAAAAGATGACAGCAAAGTCTGAAAAAGATGACAGCAAAAGAAAATACAAGTTAAAATCCTTCAACAGTGAACATCACACTTTTAGTACTCGGCTCGTCAGCCGACGATTTTACCCAGCACCTGTTTGTAAGTTGAGGAGGCTGTATGGTCATATTTCATGTAATACAAAATGAAGTGAAAATATAGTTATACAGCTTTACAGTTAACCCTTGTATAACGCCGTTACTTTCCTAGAAAACAGTGTGCAATGTAAGCCATGCTATATAAACTGAACATGGTGAAGAAAGTGGGTTATGTTCCCAAACAATGACAAAGCTGAACATACAAGAATAACTTTCATTTAGAACAGTGGGTGGACATTGTGACAATAAATACGAGAGAATGGGTGTTTTTCTGTAGTTGGTATCGAGAGATCTTTTAATTTCTAAGCTCGGTCTGAAGCCAGACTTGTTTGGTGATAACTTGCCCCATCAGGGTGTTGCTGGTAGCTAAAAACAGGCCCAAAAATCCATTGTGATGATTGATCCAGCACTTTATGCAGGAATTTATACCACTGTTCCTTGAAAACATTAAATTTCTTCAAGATCTTTCTTATACTTTGTGGAAGGAGGATAAAAGGAGCAGTGGGGCCCTTGATGTTCATAATGTATTCTCTCATTGTGTCTCTGAAACCTCTACCCTTTATTGAATTTATTCGGCATTTCCAACTACATCTTTTGCTCCACATAATTGCTATTTTATTGTGAATATTCAGTCAATCCTCCCGTTACAGTACTTATAGTAACGATGAGGTCCATAGTATATATACCGTCAAACAACAAAATTAGAAAGTAGAAATCTGAACTATCGAGTTGGACAAACTGGAAAATTTTTTTACTTGTGTTGCTTTGACAAACTAAACTAACCAAACCTTCCTAGGCCTATTAGGCCTAGCAATTTGTTTTTTAGCTTCATTTACTTTAAAAGAATTCTTTACTAGTCAGTATACTACTATCTAAAAGCTAAGTATGTATGCACGAATTCGTGACTACTAACGATCGTCACAATAGGTACTATCTAAACAGGAGGATGGGTTGGGATATTTGGCACCTGACCTGACCGAGCATCTTCCGTGTACTGTCTATACTCGGTAATCCAAATCATATGGGGGTCAACCCTTGTTGAAGTTAGCCGAACATTAGATTTAGCAAAATTTCTTGCCAGAAATGTCCAAAAAAGGAACAAATCCAAAAAAAATTTGTACCACAACTGTTACTCCCACAATCTACCCACACATTCCCATGGTTTACTTGGTGGTCTAAATATTTTTTACAGTATTTGATAATGCATGTATAATCCTTATTTCATAAGCACACTCAATATGTCCAGCAGCTTTTTCTCGAACATTACGAAGCTAAAGATTTTCAAACACGATATCAGATATGTTGAAAATTATTTCAACATCTTATATGTTCCCTATATGATAGTTCCCTATGTGATAGTTTCAAAGTACATTCTCATGAAATTACGAGTCTCTAGGAGCAGGCTTCAGATGAGCCAAGGCAGAGTAACAGCTCTTGCTTGCAGTTTCAATAGATACATCATTTGACAGCCCTTATGAACCTAAGTCTTAGGAGAAAAAACATTTACACGTAATTGATCAATTTTTTCCTCTTCTTACTACCTTTAACTTAATGTAATTATGTTCACATAACATCTCCAAAAACAAAAATTATGCACTAGGCAAATTGAACATACTTTTTCTGCCTGCTTCTTCAACATGCGGTAGCGTTTCTCATCTGCCGAGGACAGCTCTCCCGTTTCTTCCTTCAGCTGCTGCAGCTTCTGGAGCTCACCATTGCTGCAACACACATCTCATTTTAGTTTCCACCATTTATAAAAAGACATTTGTAATAAAGTAAGAACTACACTTTACAGAGAGTTACTTTAAATATCCAATTCTTTGGTATATGGTTAAAAAAAGAAAAGATAGGCAATAATGCAATACTGAACAAGCTACTGAACCTTCAGATCTTTATACAAAACAAAGAAATCCTTTATAATCTATACTGTGTAACATGACACTATTCACTCAAGTTTTAGATCCCTTGTGTACAAATATAGATATGCCTAGTATGAGAACAGGTTAACCTGTTCAAAGCAACTTAAGACTTGGGAATAATTTTTGTTTAATCTCAAAAGTCCAGATATCTCAACTGGAATGTTTACTTTCTGTATTTAACCCTCAGGCTGTGGACATCGTGTTTCCCCTCCCCAAAATGAAAGACCTAGAACGAGAATTGAGGTGACCAAAGTGAAAGGAGTAGACACATTTTATCGGTGTTGTGCGCTCCCGGGTAACATGCTCTCACTTTGTTGCGTATGGTACGCTGGCCATTTGCACTTTATATGCCTTTAGTCCTGTAGAGAATTCTATTGCAAACACTGATACCAAAATGAAAGACCTAGGACGAGAATTGAGGTGACCAAAGTGAAGGGAGTCTAAATATTTTATCGCTCTTGAGCCATGCTCCCGGGTAACATGCTCTCACTTTCTCTGTTTGTTGCGGATGGTACGCCGACCGTTTGGACTTTATATGCCTTTAGTCCTATAGAGAATTCTATTGCAAACACAATGATACTAAATTGAAAAACCTAGGACAAGAATTGAGGTAAAGTTGAAAAGATTATACACTTTTCAGAATTACCGTGCGCTCCTGCGGAATGCCCAAATCCACCCGGAGTAGTGTGATGCATGTGCGCCCAGAACATCAAAGTGTTAAACAATTATATGGATATAAAAGCTCTCTATGGATGTAAATAAAGACAGACAAGTGATAAAACAATTAGTAAAATATTCGAGGATAAAACGGAAGCGTCAGCAAAATCAAGCAACGGGTTGACAAGTGCCAGACAGTCTTGCAGAGTGCCTCCACCCAGTGAAATGATAAATATTAAATTAATTTTGCATTTTTCTTACCTTTTATACAAATTATTAATTTTATAATGAAACATTTTGTGGGAAGGGGATTTTTGCAAAGGCAAGTACTGTATGACCATTTTTCCATAGCCGCTGTCCAAGGGTTAAAGGTATCCACATACCATCAAACAGAAGTGGTATGGCAAGGAAAAACAAAGTAACCAAAGGGCACCCTTACAAGACATGGCTATTAACACCATACCAGGAATTAATATGAAAAAGACCTTCTTACTCAGCCACATGCATGTTGAAGACAATTAGATCTAACAAAGAGCAAACTACTGTACCTAATTTACCCAACTTTTCACAAAACTTCACTTACTCTTCAAGACTGCGGATCTGATTATGCAAGGCCAAGAAAGAAACTGGAGAATCAATGGCTTCTCGGGACTTGGCGCACAACCGGACAACCTGTCGAAAAATAAAAGATTAAACAACTTTGATAGTTTCATGTACGTTCATCTTTTGTAGGTACATAACATCTAGAACCCACTTAATGCAGCCTCCTCAAGTCATAATAAATGCTTCCTTATACAATGAAATCACAATAGTGAGATATCTGAGAAAATCTTTATGGAACAAGGTACTTTGGAGAGCACTAGCATCTTGAAAAGTATCATCATTGGTATGGCATCTATTGTTTGAAAGGTTCTCGTTATTCAACCTGTCATTTTTTCCACGCTATTCTCAAGGTTAGTGTGTTCTTTAAAAGGTAAAGTCATCTAACATGATTACACTCAAATTCTTTACATTGCTTTTTCACTCTATGGTATAATTTGATTGTCTTGTACATGGTTACCGTTTTCATATTTTAATTTTTGTTCACAGCGCAGGAAATGAGTCGGCAAACTGTATCATATCGATGTAATGATAATGTTTGTCATTCGTTGTCGAAGATGTCCATGACTCCAATTAATGGGTTGAAGTCATGAAGTGTGGTCGACTTGATTAAAGCGAGGGAGAGTTGCGCAAATCGTCAGCTTCACACTCTCGTCCCGGCTTATTTCGGTCCAGTAGCAAGACAAGTTGAGACGGCAGAAGATAGGTTAGGATGCAGTGGATGGCTAGCAGTGTCCTATGTGTCTCACTGCATATATATGCATGCTCACAGTTGCGCTCCACAACGCTTTGCCGAGTTCACTGTCTTGCCTCTTGAACCATTCAGGTGGTTTCCTTCGTGCAGTCCACCAGGTCCAGTCTTCGCATGCGTAGGTAGACAAGCCGTAATTCACCGAGGATCTTAAACCTTCGACTACCCTCACCTGGTTTTGCCCGCCAATCTAATAAGTTTACCAGGATGTGACCGCTGTTGCCTGCAAACAGCTACTAGGAGCCACAGGCGAGTCGAGTGCAGTTGACTAAACCAGACAAACCACCCGAATGTGCAACTGTTCCCTGTCAGAGGTACTACCCCTCACTGACACACCCATACATATGTCAATGTACCCAATAACACTACTACCTGGCTTCCTCTTACTATGCACATAACAAGACCTGGATAATTAGGTTTTCTTGCATTTTCCTTTTTCCATGCAAATGTATCATACAATATTTTTATTTTACACAAGTGAGGTGACATTTTTACATTAGCCACTCATTGAGGGTTAAGCACCTCTGCATCATCATTGATAGTGGTAAAGGTTGAGCTTCTTTTGAATGAAAATGGATATGGGTGTGTTGGTGGGGATGCTCGTGGATGTAGGTGGTGTTGTGGTCATATAGTTGGTACTTACCCAGCTGTGCTTGTGGGGGTTGAGCTTTGGCTCTGGTCCCAACCCAATGGTGGATGGGAGTAGGAAGGGAGCAGATAGTGTTCAAGGTTATGGGTGGAGGAAAATCTTGGAAAGGTGGAAGGCAGAAAGACAGCAAGCATGAGGGTTGGAAGAAACAGGTGGGTAGACAAGAAGGGAAATGGGAGGAAAGGGGGGGTATTGCCCAGTGGAAAGTGGGTTTGGGCTAGGAGAAGAGACAGGGGAAAGCAGAAAAAGGTCTTTGATAGAGGAGAATTTTGGAACAATATCACTCAATTTCAACAGTAGCAACATTTGTTGGGTGTAATTAAAGTATTTTACACTTCATGTAAATACATTTGGGTTGTTTAGACAGTGAATAGAAGTCTTGAGAGAAAAAATTACAAGGTAGATACCTAACTAGAGGAACTTATTCCATAACCAATCTACCAAAAAAACATTTCTCCAGATGCAACATCAACTACAGTGGAACCTCGAGTGACAAGTGGCTCCAGTTACGAGCATTTTGAATAACAAGCAAGCCACCCGCAGAAAATATGTCTCGACTGACGAGCTTTCCCTCGATTAACGAGCGTTCCCACCGCTTCTCGGACACCTCCGACGTGAGTTTTGTTGTTGTTTCATAAGACGCGTTTTCCACAAGACAAGCTCGGTGCCGGAACAGATTAAACTCTTTTAATCGAGTCGCCAATGTATATAGATGTTCATCATAAGCACTAATCACGATATATTTTATACACTTGCCTTAAGCCCAGTCTTATGAATCTTCTCAGTGAGCTGGTCGACAGCAGTGTTGGAAGGGGCACACACCAGGACGGAGCCACCAGTCTGCTTCACTAACTGGTAAACAATGGTGGCCGAGGTCACCGTCTTGCCCGTGCCTGGAGGACCTTGGATCAGTGACAAGGGTCGTTGCAAGGCATGTTTCAGGGCATATTGCTGAAAATTCAAAACCTTTTATTAACAATTCAAGGAAACTAATTCAAGAAATCCGTATGTACTAAAACCCCATTAAGCTTCATTTATCAATGTATTTTTTTAAGATGAGAATAAGCATGTTCTGCCACCAGAAAGAAACACAATAAGTAATATAGTCAATAAATGCCAAATGGGAAATCAAACTATACAGAAATTCTATTTGATTTGATTTGATTGACTTTGCATTCTGTAACAATTTAAAATCCAATGCCTTGCTTTACCTATTATTCCTATTTATCTCACTTTATAGCTATCACTCCACGGTCACACATGAAATGCCTTTGCAAAGTCCATGTATACAACATATTCATTTTGTTTTTCTTCTAATGCTTCCACGATTTTGTTATGGTGGCCGAGTAATTGCGAAAGACAGGTCCTTCCTATTTTCCCACTCTAAATCCTTATTGACCTGGGTTACGAAGTTCATTGTTTCCACAAAACTGGATATCCAATTCCTAATCACTCTCTCAAAACCTGAACACACACATACACACACGTAACATGGCAACTAAGGAACCAGCCCAAACAACCACAACTGGGGTATTTTACATCCATACATTGTTTTCTTGCATGCAAATTTTAATTTTATAACATTTGCACTTATAGCAATTTTGGCACACAGGCAGAAAAGTGCCTTTTATCATAGGGGTTCATGGACTGGATATAGTGTTAACCGAGTCATATAATCAAAGAGATCACTGTACCTGATGTAAATTGTAAATTTACTTTTAACTTAAAGTTAAACTTTTAACTTATTTATGAAATAATGAAAATTTAACTTTTAACTTAACTTTTAACAGAAAGGAAACTGTACCTGAGAATTGTTCAAGGTAGGAAGATTTGGAGCCGATAGCTGTTTCGGCAGATGAATATGGCGGAATATAAGCTCATCCACTTCTACATGACCCAACAGTCGGTGATAGATATAAGGAGACACCGAGGAGTCGTCTACAGCAAATTTTCGCAAAGCTGCTTGCATCCTGAAGACAACAATTTGAAGTATTAGAAGTATTATATACAAGATTATAAGCCAACTTCAGTCAGTCATTAAGCAATCTTTTGTAACATGAAATATGTGGCACCAACTGGCCAAGGAATACATGAGTTAAGTTTGCCTTCCTGGTGGTGATTTCTCATATTGCAACTATGACAAATTTAATGTTTATATGCTACTGCAATTATATCAACAATTATATAACATACTCATCAACACTTTGAGCAAAGAGCACCAGTATTTATCTTTGGAGGAGACAGAAAAGTGGTTTGTGTTAAGATCATGTCATATGTCACACAAGTACTGCACACGTGCTTATTTACATCAACCGTTTTCACTCCAGTCTCAATAGAAGAGTGGGTGTAAATTTACAGTGAACAGTAGAAAGTCTCAATATTCTGTTCAAAAAGTATTAGGAAAGGAAACTGACCTATCAAAGCTGGTCGACTTCCATACAAAGTCCACTACAAATTTATCTCTACAGTCTGTGGGAACACCCACATTGGACTTGAGCTCAATCCCAACTTCTTCTCCAAAATTGTCTGGTATCTTAATGACATGTCCAACTCCAGACCAGGGTTTGTGAAGGTCACCCAAGTACCTAAGGCGTAATTCATCACCATGCATCAACCGCATATCTGTAACACAAAAATAAAATTTCATTAATTCAGTTTAATAACTTTTCTAATTAACACTTTCCGGCTCCAGGCGAATGTAAAAAAAACAACCATAAGTGCTCCCGGCGTTTTGCCGCGTAAGCGTAAAAACAAAAATGTGTATACTCTTTTTACTCTCCTGGCCTTAGTTCTTGAGCTACGTATTTCATTTTGGTACCAACGTGTTCACAATAAAATTCTCTAGAAGAACATCAGTGAAAAGTCACGAAACATATAGGGATACCAGCACCAAATAAATAACTACGAAGATGACTCGCCGTGAGCGCCCAACAGCAACAAAATGTTTTTACTCTTGGGATTGTTATCACCTCCACACTTGTCCTACAGCGTTAATTTTGGTATCAATGGACTCGCAATGAAATTCCCAACACGGTGATATGAATATAAGCGTAGAATAATGATTGCGGCCCACCCGCAAGAGTGTGGGAAGTGGTGAAATTGTTACCCGGTGTCGGTGACGGGACGACGCATGGCGCTTTGAAAGTTTATACTTATTTCATTCTCATGACATTATTATTCTATGTACGTCATTCATTTTTGTGTCAATGTGTTCGCAATAGAATGTTCTATGAGCCCGTAGGTAAAAAAGATCAACAAAGCGTAAGATAGAATAGCGCCAAATATAAAACAACGCTGGAACACATCAGTGAGAGTCAAACACACACGAAATGTTTTTACTTTTGTTATGTTTGTGAACCTTTCATGAACTTATTGTACCATGCAGCCTATTGGTGAGAAAGAGAGCCTCATGGCGCGCAGTTTGAAACAAACCCAAAGTAAATCGGATAAAAATTGAATTTTATACAAATATTTTAAAAGAGGACATAAGTTTATGTCCACATAGCGGAAGCGGGTAGGCGAAACAGGACGCAGGGAGGAGTCCTCATAGCCGGAAAGTGTTAATGAAACCAAGATCCATCATATCCTGAATAGCTGTGGCAGCTTATTATCAAAATCAAGCATCTGTATAGTTTCTTTACAAGCATTTAAGTTAAAAAAAAAATATATATTTATCAACATTTCATTTATGACATGTTTAACCCTTAAACCGCACAAATCATATATATATGCTTTCAGTGACAAAACCGAAATCACATATGTCATATATATATGATTTTATGTCTAGCGCTATAATTTAAATGCCCCGCCAGGGATAGGGGCAGCTATAGTGCAGCCACGACCAATAGTTGACAGATGCCACCTAGAAAAAAAATCCAGGGAAACATTCTTGGGTGCGAGAGCTTCAGTATTGAGCAAGCCAACAAAGCTGGCGCACGCAGCATGAGCTCACAGCACCGCTGTTCAGCATGTGACCACAGCATCGCCTACAAATGCCATAATATACATGTTCATCCTATTATTTAGCGATGATAGTATTACAGAAGACCCCTGACTGATAAAACTGACTAGGATTCTGATAATAGCAGGATTGTGGCGATATTTAGCGCTGTGCTCCATGGAGGGAGGAGTAATGCTGTGGGAGGGAGGGTGGTGGCGTCATCTTCTGACTGCGTGGCCACCTTTTATTGACCAGCTTAGTGGTTTGCTATGGTGAACACATATGTAGATACTTATATAAAACGTGTGTATAGAGTGTAATAACAGCAATAGGAGTAGGTTGTTGTAGTAGGTAGGTTGGGAGCCGCCATTTTGGTGAGGAAGGTGCGTCGTCTACACGACTTATGTTGTATACTGGTGGCCACTATGGTCTTTAGCCACCATACCAGCTTATTTGTACAGGTATGGTGAATAAAACAGGTAGATACTTATATATAATGTGTGTATATAGCGTAATAATACCACAAGCAGTATTGTTGGAGGAGAAATATTAGTGTGTCTGGCCTTGAGGGCGGCCGCCACCAGCTGTGCGAGTAGCTACGTCTTTGTGCCTTTACTCACCATACAAGCTTAGATGTACAGTTATGGTGAACAAAATATGTAAATACTTATATATAACATCTGTGTACAGTGAATAAATGCAAAAACAGCATTGTGGGAGGAGAATGAGGGCGAGTGAGGTGTTGTTGAGGGAGGGAGTGGCAGGCTGGTGTGTGGCGGTCACTCCTTGTTGCATTTTGACTCACAATACCAACTTAGTGGTTCGTTATGGTGAGCAAAACATGCAGATACTTATATATAACCTGTGTATATAGTGTAATAACAGCAAAACTATTTGTTTATTGTTTTATGAACAAAATAATTGAATCACTAATTATCACACCATAATTTTGAGTACAGCGATGGTTCACACATTATATAAATATATCACATTTCACTGTATTGAATAATATTACTGAAAAAAAAACTAAGAATAATTCAATCAGAGACATTGAAATAATTCCCGCCTGACACCTCGAGCGGAGCAGACCTTGTCTGACGAAGGCTCTGTCAATGCCCTTTTTTACCAGACTTCCCTACCCTATTGCGGCTAAAATATGCCACCTACGATTTTTTTGTTATTTTTTCTGTAATCAGGGAACAAAAATGAACACTTTCATAAGGCAAAAGAATTTTTTGGAATTCTTTTTTTTTGTTGCGCCTGTGGGTGTTAAAGCCATTTGGACCCCTAGCGGTTTGAGGGTTAAGTTATTGATTATATCAACACTTTCACTGCCCGATCATGCATATTCCATCACAGAAGCAAAATTTGGAGAATGTGTGACGTTTACAAATTTAAAAGTGTGTAAAAATTCCATTTATTGTTCGAATACTATGGGACTTGTTTTAAAATGCACACAAACGTCTTCCCATTCTGTATACCTCAGGTGGCAGCCCAACCCCTCCGTGTGGGCACTCGCTCACGCTGGAGGCTCACTGTTCTCAACCTCACTCATGACAGCCGCGGCCTTCCCTCGAGTCGAAAAGTTTCCCCATTCAGGTTATTTTATCTCAGGGTATTTGTTGTTACTGGTTTTATAAGCACTGCAAATTGACTCCCAGATGAATACTGATCAAGAACAGAGCCAATCCATGACGAAAGTATCCCTTTACAGCATTCTATTGCGAACAATTTGATACCAAATTGAACGACGTAGCATGAAAATTGAGGTGAGAATGCTGAAAAAAGTGTAAACATTGGAGAGAGGTTATGTGCTTACGGGCAACGCTCGGCCGACCTTGCTGTGTGCAGTGGGTTGCCTGCCAGGCCAACGAAAGTGTTAAGAACCTGAAACTTGTTCTGCAAAATTCAAGTACTAATGGCATTCAACATTAATAAAAAACAACTCTTGCTTTTAAATCCTGTTTCCTTTTCCATGTATAACAAAATTACAATAAGAATTACTGTACCTCCATCAGTTTTGGCAAGAGTAAAATAGGCACAAATCTTCTTGTTTAAACCAATATCCCACCGCACTTCAATCTTGTCCTGGGTCTGGGATTCCTTGAGTTTCTTATCATAATCAGCTTCTAACTTCACTAAAGGTCCAAATATATTCTGATATTGGAATCCATCCTCATATCTGTAAAAAAAATATCGAATGATTAAATATAACTTGTTATAAAATAAGTCTCAATATTTAATTCACTCGGTACTGTAGAGTTCTTAAATCTCATTAATGGTTCTACAGTTAGAACACAGTTTGAACAATGGTTCTACACACCTAAAACAAATACTTAACTGCACTTTAATTTCATTATTAATTTATTAGTTTGTCTTTAGGGGAAGGAAAACCCCAAATTCAAACCTCTGCTGTCTTGCGGCTAAACCCACTCATGGGAAAAACTTCGGGAGTCAACCCTGAGGAAAAATCTGGAGTCGGAGTCCCTAAGGCAGTTTGCAGCTGTTTACAGCTACATTCTGGCAACTCCTGCGACGACACTGGTGCCAAGTGTATCGGCGCCTGCCCTTCCCTTGGATCACATTGGTAGCAGCAGAGGGTGGATCTGCTGCATGGGCAAGAGCTGGTCTTCCATAATTACTGCTCAGGCCTGTAAACCTGGAGAGGACACTCCAACATCGCCTTGGCGATGTTACCGGTGATAAGCCTACCACTTAATTGGGGTAGAGTGAGACGCCAAGGGTTGCTTCCGTCGGTGGGAGAAATCATCTGATTTCATAGGACAGTCTTTACCGCCCGCCTCAAGCTGGGCAGCCCTTAGCCAATAAGGTGCTGTCCCACCACGGTCCGCCTGCTCCACTAGGTGCGTGGGGCTTAGGACACAGTCCAATAAGCGGATCGTCAACCATACACCAGCCAAAAGAAAACAAACACAGAGTTGGTTCTGATCACGGCTCTTGGCCTTCCTGCCTGGGCCAGTTTGCATTTGAGAAGATGGATGAGTGGGCAGCGCCTCCTGGAGTTCTGCTGCCGTCATGATCTCTGCATCACCCATTCCTTCTTCGACACCAAGCCCCAGCATAAGGTATCCTGAAGACACCCCAGGTCTAAGCATTGGCACCAACTTGATCTGGTGCTTACAGGGCATAGCAATCTGAGAAACATCAAACCGACTCACAGCTTCCAGAGCGCAGATTATGACACCGACTATTCTCTCGTCAGTTGCAGAGTAAAGTTCCAGCCCCGGAAAATCCACAGAGCAAAGAAGGAGGGAAGACCATGTATTAACGTAAACAAGACCCATGACCTTCACAAGGTGGAATTCACTGCGGCGCTGGTAAATGCCCTTCCTGTACCATCCTGCGATAGCGCAAGTGAGAGGTGGTCACATTTCGGAGGCACTATTTTCAACACTGCAGCATGTCCACCTTCGGTAAGAGGCAGAACAAGCCAGCAGATTGGTTTAAGGCCAGTGCAGAGGAGCTGTTACCCCTCGTAGAGGAAAAGAGACGAGCTCTCTCATCCTACAAGAACCTGCCCTCAGAAAGGAACCAACAGGCCCTGTGTACTGCCCGCAGTAGAGTTCAACAAACTGCGAGGCGCTGTGCTAATGATTACTAGTACAGTGGCACCTCGACTTACGATTGCCCCAACTTATGATAATCTCGAGTTACGATGTAAATTTCATCGTAAAATGCGACTCGACTTACTATAGTGTCGTCGACTAACGATATTTGTTGGTACACATTCGGGTCGACGGAGCGTGTGGTTCCCGGTCACGCGGGCCAACCTGGCTCAGTTTACTAGAGCTGCCCGCTTAGTGACAATCAGGCCTATAAGAAATTTCGTTTTTGTGGTGATTTTTGAACATAAAACTGATTATTATATATCATGCCATGGCTCCCAGAAAGTCAGTGGTAAGGTTCAACCTAAGAAAATCACTGAGTTGAGGCAGTAGAGGATATCCCTTCCTCATTAAGAAAATGTGGGAAGTATGGGAAGAACTGCAAAGTTTTGTTGAAAAAACACGCCCAGATAAAGCTGTAGCAGGCTGTTGCATTGACCTTTTAAATGACAATGTGATGTCTTACTACAGACAAGTGTTAAAATGTAGGGGAAAACAAGTGTTTTTAGACATTCTTAGTAAGACAAGCAAGCAGTGAGCCACAAGCAGGTCCTAGTGCTATGCAGGCAAAACATGCCAGAGTGTATCCCAGAAAAGTCCTCACTGCCTGATGTTATAATGGAAGGGGACTCCCCTTCCAAACAGTAATAACTCTCCTCCCACCTCTTCACCATCTTCCATACATCATCAAGAGACCTCCATAAAGGTAAGATAAACATTTGTACTGTATTGTAGTTAGAGAACAAAATTGTATTCAGTATAAAATGTATTTGTAAGTTAATATTTTGGAGGGTTGGGAACGGATTAATTCAATTCCCTTTATTTCTTACGGGAAAAATCGCTTTGACTTGCGATATTTCGACTTGCGATCCGTCTCTGGGAACAGATTACCATCGTAAGTCGAGGCCCCATTGTACTGGCTTTGACTGTTCCAGCATCCAGACTGCGGCCACTGTCGGCAACATAAAGAGGCATGTACGAAAGGATCAAACGGGCAACAGGCCCTACACAAAACAGGACAGCTCCTCTGAAGTCAGCCACTGGAGAGATCATTAAAGACCGTGATCAACAGATGAATCGCTGGGTGGAACATTACTCCGAACTCTACACCAGACAGAACTTGGTCAGCATAGAGGCTTTGGATGCAATCGAGTGCCTGCCCATCATGGAAGAACTTGATCTTGAACCAACTGTGGAAGAAGTTGAGAAAGCAGTGGATTCACTTTCCTCAGAGAAGGCCCCAGGAGATGACGGGATTCCTCTGAAGTTCTCAAGTGCGCTCATGGAACACTTAAAACTGAGCTTCATGAACTTCTGTGCCAGTGTTGGAGGGAGGGCTCGATGCCACAAGACATGAGAGATGCAATCATCATCACACTCTACAAAAATAAAGGTGACAGAAGCAATGTCAACAACTATCGCAGCATCTCCCTCCTCAGCGTTGTCGGCAAACTCTTTGCCAGGATCATCTTGGTCAGGTTCCAGATTCTTGCCAAAAGAGTGTACCCTGAGTCACAGTGTGGTTTCCAAGCAGTGAAGTCGACCACTGACATGGTGTTTTCCCCGAGACAGCTTCAAGAAAAGTGCAGGGAGCAGAGAAAAGCCTTGTACATCGCCTTCATTGACCTTACAAAGGCCTTCAACCTCGTGAGCAGGGACAGACTCTTCAAGATCTTGGCCAAAACTGGCTGCCCACCCACCCTACCCAGCATGATACAATACAGTCGTGTACGACGGATCAACTTTTGAACCATTCAACATCAACAGTGGTGTTAAAGAGGGGTTTGTTCTTGCTCCAACACTGTTCGGCATCATCTTCACGATCCTTGTCAAGCATGCCTTTGGAACAACCAAAGAGGGCATCTATCTCCGTACAAGATCTGATGGAAAGCTCTATAATCTATCCAGACTCCGAGCAAAGACAAAAGTACAGATGCGAATCCTCAGGGAGTTCCTCTTCGCCGACAACGCAGTGATCACCCACACACAGCAGAAGGCCTGCAGCAGTTACTCAACCGCTTTGCCGCAGACTGTTCCGCATTCGGCCTGACAATCAGCCTGAAAACACAGGTGATGGGACAAGATGTCCACGAGTTACCCTGTATAAATATACCAGACTATGTGCTGGAGGCAGTTCACGAGTTTCTGTACCTGGGCTCCACAATCTCAGACACCCTTTCCCTGGACAGTGAGCTCAACAGGCGTGTCGGGAAGACAGCAACAACACTGGCCAGGCTCACAAAGCGCGTTTGGGAAAATGCCAAACTGACAATGCACACCAAGGCACAAGTCTACATGGCATGTGAGGTGAGTACACTTCTCTACAGCTCGGAATCCTGGACCCTGTGCTCTTGCCAGGAGAGACGGCTCGATACCTTACACATGCGGAACCTGAGACGCATCCTTGACATCAAGTGGAAAGACCACGTCACCAACAACACAGGACTCGAGAGAACAGGAGTCCCTTCAATGTTCACTCTCCTGAAGCAGAGATGCATGCGATGGCTGGGACATGTCACACGCATGGACGATGGCCGCATACCGAAGGGCCTCTTGTATGGAGAACTGGCATCAGGAAGGAGATCCACAGGAAGACCTCGGCTGCGTTTCAAAGATGCCTGCAAACGCGACCTCAAGCAGATGAACATCGACATCAACACTTGGGAGACAGCAGCTGCGGACAGAGATGCCTGGAGATGCAAAGTGCAGAAGGGACTCCAGCAATTCGAGGATGAACTGAAGAGGCAGGCGGAGGATAATAGACTTCAGAGGAGGTCTCGATCACTGTTGGACACACCCGCTTCGATTTTTAGCTGCGCTCGCTGCGGTCGGGACTGTCATTCTCGGGTTGGCCTTCACAGCCACAGCAGGCGTTGCATCCAACTAGACTACAACAACTAGACACCCAGGGCACAACTCCATAACCCCGCAGGATTGACGGATGCCTACTACTAGTTTATCATTCCACAAGTTTAAAGCATACCATCCATAGCTTTGCTAATTTGCATTTACTATAATTCCTCCTATAAAACATAAACCACTATGATGATTCTTGATGAAGTCAACTATAGTTGTCTTTCAAAGTCCACCACAGCATCATTTTAGTAATTTTTTCAATATTTATATAAAAAAAAAATAAAACATTGAATGTAATGAAACGCCAATTTCTGGATGAGCCTCAGATGCACCCTGAAACTGCAATGCTTATATAGTAACAAACTACTAGGGGCCATCAATTGCAGAGTTCTTTTAGGCCTACAGGCAACCACAAGCCAGAACCTGGCCCCCTCTAAAGACACAGAGCAGTGGCACTATGAAGAAATTGTCAGATAATTTTAATACACCCCCCTGCCCCCCCCCCCCCCCCCCCCCCACTCCCTAGCCTTGGTGGACCCCACTAACCCTTAAGCTGCTAAAGGGTCCCGAGGAGATTTACACCCGTGCGCAAGAAAAAAATTCTAAAAAATTATTTCATCTTCTAAAAATGTTAATTTGTGTTCCCTGAGCACAGGAAAAATAACAAAAACAAAATCGTAGGTGACATATTTTGGCCGCAATAGGCCAAGGAAGTTTGGCAAAATGTGGATTGACAGAGCGGTAGTCAGTGGCGGTCAGCGTTACCCGAGCTGACAGGTGGAAGTTGCCATAAAGATATTATTACCTAATTATTTCAATGCGATTTTTTCTTAGTTTTTTTGCAGTAATATTATTCAATAGTGTGTAGTGTGATAGATTTATATAATAAAAGGGGTGAATCATCGCTATACTCAAAAGTATGGTGTGCATATTAGTGATTCAATTATGATGTTCATAAAACAATAAACAAATAGTTTTGCTGTTATTACACACTATACACAGGTTATATATAAGTATCTGCACGTTTTGTTCACCATAACGAACCACTAAGTTAGTATTATGAGTCGAAAAGCAACGAGGAGGGACTGCCACACACCAGCCAGCCACTCGTTGCCACTCCCTCAACAACGCCTCATTAGCCCACTTTCTCCTACCATCCTGTTTTTTATTTTATTCACTATATACAGACATTATATATAAGTATCTACACGTTTTGTTCAACACAACTGTACAACTAAGCTGATATAGTTAGTTCAGGCACTAAGAGTCGTCGCTACACACAGTCAGCTGGCGGCTGCCTCCCTCACTCATTCAAGGTCACACGCACTAAACTTTCTCCCCAAACAATACTGTTTGCAGTGTTATTACACTATATACACATTATATAAAACTATCTACATGTTGTATGCACTATAACTGTACACCTAAGCTTGTAGGGTGCATAGTGGCCACCCTCTACACAGCTAGACAAGTCATGCAGACGACGTCACCTCCGTCACCCAAATGGCTCCTCCCAATATAATCCTTTTGCTGTTATTACATTAATACACAAATTATATATAAGTATCTACATTTGTGTTCACCATAGAGAACCACTGAGCTGGTATGGTGAATACAGACAATAACAGGTGGCCACACAGTCAGTAAACGATGATATCTCCCTCCGTCTCTCAGCATTATTCCTCCCACAGTGCTAATTACCACAACAATCCTGCTATTATCACAATCCTGGTCATTTTTATCAGTCAGGGCTCATCTGTAATACTGTCATCGCTAAATAATAGCCGTTATATATATTTTTGCATTTTTAGGTGATGCTGTGGTCACAAGCTGAACAGCAATGCTGTTAGCTCATGCTGCGTGCGCCAGCCTTGGTTGCTCCCACAGTACTGTGGCTCTCACACTGGAGAATATTGCTCTCGATTTTTTTTAAACATGGCGTCTGTTTACAAGAGCCCTGAGGAAACTAATGTGAACCCCGTGTAGCCGGGAGCCATTTGAATCGTGCCTGGCACCCTATGGCATATATATACTCCATGCACACCGTGGGATATGTTACTCATGGCGCATATATACGCCATGCGCAGCTTAAGGGCTAATTAAGACATCAGGTATATGCCAGGATTCTTGGTGAACTTTCCTGCCTACGATGATAAGTACACTTGCAAGATGTCTTGCCTGGAGTATACCTGGAGAGGGTTTCGGGAGTTCTACTTCCCAAACCCAGTCTGAGGCAAGACTCGACCCCTCACAATTGGTGAGGAATGCAATGGAAAATGTACCTCAATCCATTAGCAAGAAAAATTGCCACCACTAGGTAATAATCCAAATAAGAGAATTTAAGAGTACAGCACAACATTTTTTTTTTTTGTTGTTTTGCCAGCTGCCACAGAGGATACCTCGGTTCCTCGTAGAAACAAGTTTATTTTTGGTCAGGCTAAATAAGCCCCTTTTTAGATGTCATTGTGTCTGTAAGGGGTCCCATGCTTTAACCCCTGGGCTGCACATCTGTCAATAGCCAACAACCCCGTGATGGAGATTTTTTTTTTTTTATGCATCCAGGAAGCATGAAAATCTAAGTAAAAAGTTTTTATCTCATGTGGTTTAGCTGTAGTGGCCCGATGTTAATTTTATCAGTAGAAATAAGACGAGGAATAATTTTTGTAAATTTATTTTCATTGTTTCTCACTTTATTTATTAGTTTTTTATGCTAACATGTTGTACTGATCAGTCAAAGGTGGTCATTATATATAACTTTGAAAATAAAAGTATGTACAGATATACAGTATTTATAAAGCATAAATATATTAATACAGAGTACAAATATATGATTTGCTGTTAAAAGATCAATGGTCCCTAGTATGGCTGGCCTGCCTGTCCAGACACTGAATGGTAATTTGCCAGACATGGACCATCTTTTTAGTAAGGCCCTGGAAGTAAAGCGAGGAACTCAGGATTTTTGTCTCAAAGATGGTGGATAATTACTGGAGGCCTCGGGAAACAAATGTGAGCCATGTGTATGTGAAGGACTTTCGTATCTAACACAGCACACTAAATCATGTGCATTTGACTTGCGAATCAGTTAGGTGAAAAACATGTACAATTCGCGTCATGGAAGCGTCAAGGTTCACTTCCAGTTTATTTGCAAGTTACAGTGCCTAGCCGCTTCAGTCTTAAGTTCTCTTCCCCGGTGCTGCTGATAAAATCCAACCATCAGAGATATCTTCTATGGGTCTGTGCCCTCCAGCTGGTACAACAACTCTTGAGTCTAGCCTGTACCAAGACTGCTTTGAGACCATCTTCAAGTAAAGCCTCTGCACTGTAGTTAATTATTCTTAATGTCTAGGAAGGAGGGGGGGGGGGGAGGTGAGGTGAGGTGAGGCGAGTGAGGCGAGTGAGGCGAGTGAGGCGAGTGAGGTGAGTGAGGTGAGTGAGGCGAGTGAGTGAGCGAGCGGAGTGAGTGAGGCCTTCAGCTCAAGCACTCACTCTCATTAGGTTAATGAAAAATGTTTTTCTCAGAAACCAATTTGCATTAAGTTTATTAAATGTAAAACCTTCCTATGCAACGACACGTTAAGAAAAACAAAACTATACCCTCCATAACATTTCAATTTGCATGTTTTAAGTCACACTACCTGCATAGATATTACTTGACTAAAATGCTTTTCTAGGCATAGAGGCCACATACAATACACACAATAGTCAAAAGTGCAACAAAAATGTGTAAGTATTGTAATGAATTTCACCCAGTTAGATCAAGTCACTACTTATTTGAAACAGGTAAATGCTTCTATTACCTGAGGCAAACCTGCTGAGGCTCTTCATCCACCCCTGGACGCTCCAGATCATCAAATGTTGCTGAAGCATTCTCCTTCCATAGTTCTTCCAGCTTATTAATCTGCTGGGCAGTAATCTGGCGTGCACGGAGTTGTTCAGCTTCTGAAGGCACACGCACCAGCCAAGGTAAGAGAGCACGGTCATTGATCAAAGGTTTCCACTGTTCTGGATCCCTGAAATTAAAACAAAAATCTCACGATTCACAATCAAAATCGGGAAAGTTCATTTTTTAACTACAAACGATCAAGGGTGATAGTTCAGTCTCCTATGCCAGCTCCTAAGGGAGCCGGTCAGCCGAGCGGACAGCACGCTGGACTTGTGATCCTGTGGTCCTGGGTTCGATCCCAGGCGCCGGCGAGAAACAATGGGCAGAGTTTCTTTCACCCTATGCCCCTGTTACCTAGCAGTAAAATAGGTACCTGGGTGTTAGCTGTCACGGGCTGCTTCCTGGGGGTGGAGGCCTGGTCGAGGACCGGGCCGCGGGGACACTAAAAAGCCCCGAAATCATCTCAAGATAACCTCAAGATATGCCAGGCATATCACGATTACTTGCAGTTTGGGTTGGGCCAGCACCCATAAGATGTTCACTGCACAAATGCAGTTTGCCTTAAGTCATGAAGTGAGGGAACTTGTGTGTGAATTCAAGTGACTGATACAAGGATACAAGAAGCAGCAAGCAATATTCTGGTTTCATGAAATACTAAAATGCACAATGTTAAATAAAACTAGGATGAATATTAATAAAAATACAACCATACAGTGGGGCCTCGATTTAATTTCTAAATGATTATAACTTGGTAATCCGTTCCCAGAGACGTATCATGGTAAGTGGGATGTAGCGAAATATCGTAAGTCGAAGGAGATTTTTCAGTTTGGTAAAGAGGTGAAATAGGGTTGAGATTTTAGATAGAATATCCTTATAAGAAATAAAGGGAATTGAATTAATCCATCCCCCACCCTCCAAAATATTAACTTACAAATACATTTTATACTGAATACAGTTTTGTTCTCGAACTACAATACAATACATATGTTTATCTTACCTTTATGGAGGACTCTTGATGGTGTATGGAAGATGGTGATGAGGGGGGAGGAGGAAGGATGTTACTGTTTGGAAGGGGAGTTCCCTTCTATTATAACATCAGGCAGTGAGAACTTTTCTGGAATACATTCTCTGGCATGTTTTGCCTGCATAGCACTAGGACCTGCTTGTGGCTCACTGCTTGCTTGTCTTATTAAGAATCTGTCTAAAAACACTTGTTTTCCCCTACATTTTAACACTTATCTGTAGTAAGACTTCACATTGTCATTTAAAAGGTCAATGCAATGGCCTGCTACAGCTTTATCTGGGCGAGTTTTTTCAACAAAACTTTGCAGTTCTTCCCATACTTCACACATTTTCTTAATGAGGAAGGGATATCCTCTACTGCCTCAACTCAACTATTTTCTTAGGTTGAACCTTACCACTGACTTTCTTGGGACCCATGGCGTGATATATAATAATCAGTTTTATGTTCAAAAAGCAAAAAATCACCACAAAAACGGAATTCTTATAGGCGTGATCGTCACTAAATGGGCAGCTCTAGTAAACCGAGGCAGGTCGGCCCGCGTGACCGGAAACCACGTGCTCAGTCAACCCAAACGTGTACCAACAAATATTGTTAGTCGACGACACTATCGTAAGTCGAGTCACATTTTTCGATCAAATTTACATCGTAACTCGAAATTATCATAAGTCGGGGCAATCGTAAGTCGAGGTGCCACTGTATTTAATTCAATATCGAAGAATATCCTAGGACATTATAGCCCAGCCCAGTTGTCAAAAACTGAATTACTACAATTTCAAGGATGGGAAGGTCCCAGATGGAACACAGACTAAAGAATATAAATGGTAATAATTCTAAGAGAGAAAATGCATTACACGGGACAACCATTGATATAGTTGCTATTAACAAGATTAAATATACATTTTATTATTAGGGTAATGAAAAATATTACCTTTTTTAAGCTAAATACTGTACCAAAAGCAGTTAAGTAAAATAGGGGGTAAGAATTTATGAAACAGACACCAAACCTAGAAGACTATTTAAAACTCCCTTGTTCTGCAGAACTGCCAAAAAATATTAATCATTCTAGATGCTAATACATGAGCAAAAAGACAAGACAATGTCAAAGGCACCAGATTCCCCAAGGATTTTATTGAGGTACGACAACTCAAAAGGGATGGCGGAAAAGCAAAATTTCCAACCGTCCAGAAAATCGGGACCTTTTACGAGGAAGCGTGGAACTGTACGCAAGTGGAACAATGCAGTTTGCAGAATAATGCACAGGCTTTGTAAAATGGGGAAGTATGGTCAACACTTTCACTTCACATCTACACTAACAAATATCGGAGAAAAGAAATTTACCAAAAAGCTATTCCAGAAATCTTACCAATTCATATCTCTAAGAGAACTCTGCGCAGCGCATGGTTGCCGACACAAGAGAACCACCACAGATTCAGCTTTGGCAGGAATAAAGCCCAGCACAAACACATTCTTGACGGCACATGCATAACACTCCAGAACAGTATCTCGCACCAATCCATCCTTGTGAAGACTCACTTCCTGTAAGGCAAACAATCCTTTACTTAACTCATCAAGCATAAAGAAAGATATTTCCAATATAACAAAAATAATAAAATATCTGCAAAATCTTGAATCTCTTTCACCCTTTACTGTACACAAAATGATTAATCACTTTAATTGCTTTTAACTTTCTATTTACCAGTCTGTGACCAGACGTGAGTGTTTACTCTCTAAGCCTGGCAAGATGCCAAGCTTCTCTGGTGACTTCCTTATCAGTCAACTTGCTAAGGTTTGCAACCCGCTGAGCCACAAATCCATAAAAATGCACTGTTAGGCATCACCTGCAGATTCCATTCCAGGAGTTTAATTCCATTTTCTAGGAGTTTACTAGAACTCTACTAGTATTATAATTGCTTGTACAGCAGGTTTAAAATCATAGAACTTGACTCGTCTCTAAATGTGACTATGAACTTTTTTTTTATCGGGTTCATCCTACATCATCTACTGTATTTCTTTCTCACTGCATTAAGTTGCAACTTTGACCTGCATATTAGGCTCCTGACACTACAGTATTTTAAAAATAAAAATATACAAGAAAACATGAGAAAATTTACAGAGAAGTTTAGTGAGGTGTTCACTGAATGACAGCTACTAGGGAACCGACTCGTCCATTACATGTACATGTGTTTACAATCAAGTGCCGGGCAAACGGTCGATTACTGAGCACGAACACAGTTCGAGTTCCAATTTGTTCGGATTGGGAGCCATTCAAGTTCCGAGGTTCCTCTGTATAAGAACATAAGAACTGAGGAGAACATTGGGAAGGGGGGGGGGGTATAGGAACACAGGGAGCACAAGAATACAGAGCATAAAAATACAGGAAGTACATGTAGTACAAATAATACAGGGAGTACATGTAGTACAAATATAGGAGGTACAGTTTTGAATGTATTGTGTCAACCAATTTTATTGCTAATATTGAATAGTTCTTCTACATTTTAAAAGCTTGGTTCTAGGAGGTTCATCAAGTTTCAGATCCACCCTTGACAGAGTTTAAGAAACAGTTACTAGCCTCACCTTGTGCTTGGCACGAACAAGATGGTTGATAATATGCGAGCCCGAGGTGTTGCCACGACCATTGCAGAACCACTTGTGACACACATTGCACATGACGGCTGATGCCGGATCATGGATCCCACAGTAGCGGCACGCCCATTCGGGAAGTTCCTGAATAAAATGTAAAGTTAACAACAAAAACTAGATACAGTACTGTTCATTTGCAGGAGGTCTTTCAGGCAAATGAACGGCAGACTATGCTAGCAGCAGCAGCAAGACACAAAACTATGAATAGTACACAAAACTATGAATAGTACACAAAATCTAAATACCTAAGCACACACATTCAATCTGTTACAAGACCAGTCCCAATTCGTTTGGATAGTCAAGGGCCGACGTACTATTATTGAAAACTGATTGAATACAATTATTTTATACAAGTGTTATTCAACTAATAATTACACATATACTATACATAATGCACAATGCAGATATAACAGAAGGTATGTTTGTGTATCTGATGTGTGTGTGTATAAAACTACAGTATACACATTCCAGTTACATTTGGGAAAATCAAGGAATGCATACAAGGTCCCCAATACCAGCAACTCTTTATGATAGAAACAATAATACAAAGTATTCTTAATACAAATTTCCTCTCCTTGTTTACATTGTGAACAATACAATAAAAAAATCCCCATATGTAGTGTGAGTGAATGAGTGTGTGTAATTACCCAAGTGTAGCTCATACGTCAGGCTGTGAGCAGCCGTGTCCAACAGCCTGTTTGACCAGTCCAATAACTAGGAGGCCTGGTCGAGGACCGAACCGTGGGGTCACTAAGCCCCGAAAACACCTCAAGGTAACCTCAAGGTAGCTACAGGACAAGAGCTATGCTCCAGTTGTCTCTTCCTCCCAGCTGCCGTGTGGCAATGAAACTACCGACAATTTTGGCATCCACCACCATCTCACTTAACTTATTTCATCCATCTACCACTCTGTATAAAAGTGAAGTTTCTAAATATTGGGAACAGCTTTGTTTCCTTAGTTTGAATCTTATTGCCTCATGTTCTTACAGTTGCAGTTTTTGTGGAATTCTTCTCCGACAATTTGGTCAATTCCTGTTACTGTCTTATTTTGTACATAGTGATTATATCACCCCTTTCTAGCATTGGTATATTTAACATTTTTAGCCTTTCCTTGCAGTTCTTTTTCTCAATTCTAAGAGCCATTTACTATAGTTGCATGTCTCAACTTTATTCCAGTTTATTGGTACACTGTGAGACATAGGTCCATATAAGCACTGCAAATTCAAATTTTGGTCTCTCAAAGGTCATGAACACTTTTTATATTACACTATCCATGTATTTAATTAAAAGCGATTCTAAAGTTGGAAAGCATAGCATAAGTTTCGCTCACAATGTGTTTTACGTGGTCCTCTTGTGACAGTTTTCTATCCAAAACGACCTCTAGATATCTTTCTTTATTGAAATTCTTTAAAGCTTTTCACACAATTTAATTGTGGGTGGCCTATTTTCTCATTTTCCACATTCTATAACTTGGCATTTTTTCACATTAAATTCCATTTTCCACGTGTTGCTCCACACACTTATTTTGTCTTCTTGAAGGACATGACAATTGTCCAAGATTCTTGTCTTCCCTACTAGCTTAGCATCATCAGCAAACATGTTCATATAATTCTGTATTTCTTCTGGTAGATCATTTATATGAATATTACTAGAAGTGAATCGTGTGGTAACCCATTCTGCTGGTGACACTTATTACCCGTGATTACTGCCCTCATTTTTCAATCTAAACATTTATCATCCATGTTAAGAGGCCTCGCTGCCACTTCTTCACTATGTTCCAGCGTCCAGAGCAACCTCTGACGCGAGACTTTCGAAAGCCTTTATTAGGGCCAGATAAATGCAGTCAACTCAACCATCTCTTTCCTGTAAAAGAGATAATCTTGAGATAATCTTGATATCTTGAGATAATTTTGGGGCTTAACGTCCCCCCGGCCCGGTCCTCGACCAGGCCTCCTTTTTGCTACACATCCGCAGGAAGTAGTCTATAGCAGCTGTCTGACTCCCAGGTACCTATTTTACTGCTAGGTAAACAGGAGCATCAGGGTGACAGAAACTGCCAATTTGCTTCTGCCTCCGCCAGGGATTGAACCCAGAACCTTAGGATTACGAATCTTGAGTGCTGTCCACTCAGCTGTCGGGGACCCCAATATGTAGCTTTATCGTAGAAACTAAACAGATTTGTTATGCAGGATCTTTCTGCTTGAAAACTAAACTGTCTCATTATGTCATATCCCTCTAGGTGTTCTACCCATTTGGTTTTAAATATTTTTTCCAATATTTTGGCTACTATGCTTATCAATGATACAGCTGTGTGCATGTGCATTAGTGTGAACTTTACCAGCGGCGACCTCGTAAAAACCTCATTGGCTATAATACGGATAAATTGAATGGCTGGAAGGAAACAGCAGGAACAAGAAACAAGATTCCTAATTATGTACAGGAGAACAGAGTACTGTAGTCAATAACTGAAATGCCCAAAATGTAGCAAACCACATTACCTTTAATGTCCCACCTACGTATCCCTATAATCACCTGCATTCATATTTACTAACCTGTTAATGACATCTGTAATTACATTAATACATGTTACCAAGAAGTTCCAATAACCAGCAAGCTTTTCCATGAGCTGGTTTACAGCAGCTAGGGCCAGGAAACAAGTCAAGTGAAACATGGATATAAGCTGATTAGGAATATAGGATCATCAGTCTAACTCCTCCAGTGATTCAGTGACAATCGCTCTGTATATACCGCAGACCTTCTCCAACACTGATATTCATCGGCAAACAATATAACACATGTCTAGTTCCAAGCCTCACACCATACACTACAAGCCTCGTTACAGAGCAGACAGTCTCCCCCCAGCCTTACTCACTTAATCGAGCTACCCGCTCTTACCCCTCAGTCGAGATCACTGCTCTGGCACTCATTCCACCTCTGCTCTCACCCTCCAAGCTCTCCACCCACAGCCTCGCTCAAGCTCTGTTCTCACCTCCAGGCCAAGCACAAAACTCTCCACTCCAGCACTACATCTTACCCGATTCCACCACCAGCAGCACGTAATGGGCATCAAAACACATTATCCGGCTGCTGTAACCTAACTATACAAAATACAGTACACAAATCATCATATTCTTTGAATGTTGTCACTCAAAATCATGTGGGTTGTATTAGAAAAACAAACCTTGGTATAAAAAGCATTTTCATCATCCTCTTCCTCAAATTGTAGATCACCGAGTGCTTCTGTTGTCTTCTCAACTTCAGGTTCCCCTACATCTCCATTGACTGTCACCTAAAAATATTAGTACAGTACATTAACATGGACAAAATTTACTAAAATACAGATATTAATGTTTGTGAAAAAGTGTATCCAAGAATTCCCATGCAACCGGTTGCAAAGGATAATTTTTTTTATATAATCTTGTAGCCCAAATCGAGTCCAGACTTCCAAGTGATTGGTAAATCATGCTGAATGTAGCCTGCAGGCTCTTACAACCCTCACATGCTAGCTAATTCAGCATATCACACCAGATGTCTTTTGAATATTAAAGTTAACATCAATGCTTACCTAAAATCAAGAATTCACTTGAGCATTGTTATAAGTTACACAATACATAGTTACTAAAAGCAATAATTGTAACTAGCCCGACAAACACAGACTGCCGAGTTGAATGAAATTTCCCTTTCAGATGGTAGCTTATCAGCTCCCTTTACCTAGTTCACTGGCTAGGTCAGGGCATTAAACATACTATGTAAGTATGTATGTATGTATGTATGTATGTATGTATGTATGCACACACACACACACTGTCCAAAACTAGCAAAATTGCAGCCCTGGTGACTTGGAATCATAATTGGCATGTAGCTGTGTTGTTTCAGAAATGCGCTACCCAAAACAACCCTTAACCACTGTACTACGCCATCCGTTATATCATGGGAAAAGGGGGTTCACCGTCCTATACATACCAAGTTTGTTAGTACAGTACTGTACATCACTCAAGGAGTGCCGAACCAACCAAGGGCAGTGGTGGATATGTGGGCCACGCCAAACAACAGCCTCTTGGACCAAGTTATCACAAGTCACGCCTGGCCTCAGGCCGAGCTTGGGGAGTAGAACAACTCCCAGAACCCCATCAAGCAGGTATAACAACATTCAAAAAGTCCCATAGGTACACAGGGAGTGTACACATCCTCTTCCTCAGAACTCCAATAAACAGACGCCTTCATGAAAGAAAAAATCATATGCATCCCTTCTGGCTATGAGCGTCTCAGTACTGCCAAAGTGACCAAGGCTGCCACATTTCACAATGAAATAGGTACTCCTGGGTACTTATATTGCTAATGACCAGGGGCATTAGGCAATAGGAAATGCACCCCCAACAATTTTTGTCCTGCCTGGGAGTCAAACCTAGAATTCCTGATTGCAAGTCGAGAACACACTTGACTGTACCGCCAGGACCTATTTTACAAAACAATGTCTTCAAATTCGTAACATAATATTCCAATAAACTTAAGAAAATTATTAACTTCAAGATGCCAAATATTTGCAACTTTGCACTACCAACCCAGTACAGCATAATGTGTGTAGTGCAGAATCAAATTTGTTTTAATGTACCACTTGTCAACCTACAATAATTTAAATTCTGTACAGAATTCAATCACTAATGTCAACAGCTGTCACTCTCCAAGCTAGAGCCCTCACTACCGCTCACATTCACACCCGATGTGTTTGTAGTGCCAGTTGGTCTCACAAACTTCTACATACAACACTGTAAATTCGTATCCTCCTCATGGCCCTAATGATATTCTCATCAATACATCATGTTAATGGGATATCATTGTGCAATACAACACTGTGTAATGCTAGGGGTTCAAAATTCTCAAATGTAAGCAAAATACCTTATAAGAATTTTTACCATATGTTGTACAATATTACAAAAATAACTTACAAAAATTACAAAATTCTGTCCAAGGAACAACATACAGGGATTGGCATCCTTGCATGACCTCTGGGCATGTACAGTGGCAAAACTACACTTACACTGTAGTGGATATGTGGGCCTGCAGGCCGCTCCAAACAACAGCCTGGTGGACCAAGTTATCACAAGTCGAGCCTGGCCTCAGGCCGGGCTCTGAGAGTACTAGTACTCCCAGAACCCTCTCCAGGTAGGGTAGGAACCCTCTCCAGGAAGCATACAAGATCTGCCTGAAGCACGTGCCTGTGAGGAAGGTCAGAAAGAGGACCACTCTAGAAAGAGAACGCAGACAACTGTACAGGAGAAGGAAAAAAATAATGGAAATGCTTAGGCAGACACAACTATCACAAGCAAGGAAAATAAACCTAAACAGGGAGATCGAAGAAATAGAACAAACGTTGAAGCGATCATACAAGGCTGAGGAAATGGAATTGGAACAGAAAGCTATACAAGAGATAAAGAAAAATCCAAAATATTTTTTCACATATGCAAAATCAAAATCAAAAACCTCCACCAGTATTGGACCTTTAATTACAACTGAAGGTACGTACACTGAGGAGAACAAAGAAATTAGTGAAATTCTAAGAAGCCAGTATGAGGCTATGTTTAGCACACCAATAAACAACATGAAAGTTGATGACCCAGACAGCTTCTTTATGAATGACATTCAAGCTGCAGATAACATAACGGATATTAACATGAACTCGGAAGATTCTGAAAGAAATTGACAATTTGCCCATGCTCCAGCTCCTAGGCCTAACTCATGGAATTCAATATTCAAAAAGAAATGTAAAGTACCAGTAGCGTGAGCACTCAGCATAATATGGAGAAAGAGCCTAGATAGAGGGAAGATACCAGCAGCACTTAAATCTGCAGATATTGCTCCTTTGAACAAGGGGGGGGGAGTAAAGCCTTGGCAAAAAATTATAGGCCAGTTGCACTAACATCACACATAATAAAAGTTTTTGAAAGAGTAATTAGGAATCAGATTTCTAGTTTTATGGAAAATAATGAGTTGCACAACCCAGGACAACATGGATTTAGAGTGGGAAGATCCTGTCTGTCAGTTACTCAACCACTACGACAAAATCACAGAAGCTCTAGAAGAAAAGCAAAATGCAGATGTAGTATACACAGACTTTGCAAAGGCGTTCCACAAATGTGATCATAGAGTGATTGCACACAAAATGAGGTCAATGGGAATACTGTAACTGGTAAAGTAGGACACTGGATACTCAATTTCCTGTCGAACAGAACACAGAGTAACAGTCAATCAAATAAAATCAAGTCCAAGTGCAGTTAAAGCTCTGTTCCTCAAGGTACAGTCCTTGCGCCACTGCTGTTCCTTATTCTCGAATCAGATATAGATAAAAATACAAGTCACAGCTTCGTGTCCTTTGCAGATGAGACAAAAATCAGCATGAAAATTACCTTTGCTGAAGACATGGAAAAATTACAAGCAGATATCAACAAAGTTTTTGATTGGGGAGCAGAAAATAACATGATGTTTAACAATGATAAATTCCAGGTACTCAGGTGTGGCAAAAATGAGGACCTGAAACATAATACAGGGTACAAAGCACAATTGAATCTGCCCATAATAGGTAAACAGCATGTCAAGGATTTGGGAATAATGATTTCCGACGATCTAACGTTTAGGGGAGCATAACCAAGCAAATATTGCGTCAGCCAGAAAAATGACAGGTTTGGATTACGAGAACTTTCAAATCCAGGGATCCCATCACGATGGTTGTACTCTTGAAGTCACTGGTGTTGTCCCGTCTCGAGTACTGCTCAGTACTCACTTCCCCCTTCAGAGCAGGAGAGATTGCTGAAATAGAGGAATACAGAGAACATATACAGCACGCATAGACGCGATAAAGCACCTAAATTATTGGGATCATCTCAAAGCTCACCAAATGTACTCACTAGAATGGAGACGAGAGAAATACCAAATAATATACACATGGAAGATACTGGAGGGCCAGGTCCCTAATCTACACAGTAAAATAACAACGTACTGGAGTGAACGATATGGAAGAAAATGCAGAATACAACCAGTGAAGAGCAGAGGTGCCATAGGCACAATCAGAGAACACTGTATAAATATCAGAGGTCCGCTGCTATTCAACATCCTCCCAGCAACTATAAGAAATATTGCCGGAACAACCGTGGACAAGAGAAAATTAGACTTTTTCTAAAAGACGTTCCGGACCAACCGGGCTGTGGTGGGTATGTGGGCCTGCGGGCTGCTCCAAGCAACAGCCTGGTGGACTAAACTCTCACAAGTCAAGCCTGGCCTCAGGCCGGGCTTGGGGAGTAGAACTATTCCCAGAACCCAATCAACCAGGTATGCCCCAGGTATACACGAACTGTATATTACTGTACATGCCTTATACAATAATGCTGAACAGGTAACATGGAGAGGTGGGTTTCCTCGCACCTCCAGTAAGACGTCTAGGCCCAATCAAAAGGTACAAACCGTCTTACAAAGTCTGCCAGAAATAAAGCAAGTTTTCCAAACTGGAAATACTCGATATTCAGAAAAAGTAGAGCAACTTGACCTTACGAGATGACATTTCCACCATTCATGTTGCACTCCGACCCCAGGCCGGGCTTGGGGGATTAGAACAACTAAAAATTCCTCTCCAGGTATGCAATCAGGAACATACTGTTCTTGATAGCATAACCAACCACTGCATCATTTCTTGGTCTTGGTTATCTTGAGATGATTTCGGGGCTTAGCGTCTCCATGGCCCGGTCCTCGACCAGGCCTCCTTTTTGTTACACATCCCCAGGAAGTAGCCTGTAGCAGCTGTCTAATTCCCAGGTACCTATTTACTGGTAGGTAACAGGGGCATCAGGGTGAAAAACTTCCCATTTGTTTCCGCCTCCACCGGGGATCGAACCCGGAACTTTAGGACTACGGACCCAAAGTGCTGTCCACTCAGCTGTTAGGCCCCACATCTGACTGGTCACCAGTGCGACATAAATACTGTCTTGTACACACAAGCAAAATAACCTACACATGTGGCACCAAACAACATAACCTATACATGTGGCCTAACCTACACATGTGGCACCAAACATAACCTATACATGTGGCCTAACCTACACATGTGGCACCAAACAAAATAACCCACACATGTGGCCTAGAGCTACTAAAAACAGCAGCAGCAGCAGTCAGCACATCTTTTAAGCCAAGAATTTAAATTTATCATAAAAATTGAATGGAAATTTGCAATGCAGGCCTTACAGCTCGCTTTATATTTACTATGACAATATTATACGTTTGGCGGCCGCTTTTAACGTGACCAGACAAATAAGCCGTCGGAACTTGTTACATTACATGCATGGGTACAGCCGTATTACAGCAACCTATGTATAATAGGGCAGGGAACACCAGGGTACAGCATGTGGGGTATAGTATGTGGGGGTACAGCATGCAGGGTACAGCATGTGGGGGTACAGCATGTGGGGGTACAGCATGTGGGGGTACAGCATGTGGGGGTACAGCATGTGGGGGTACAGCATGCAGGGTACAGCATGTGGGGGTACAGCATGTGGGGTATAGTATGTGGGGGTACAGCATGCAGGGTACAGCATGCAGGGTACAGCATGTGGGGGTACAGCATGTAGGGTATAGTATGTGGGGTATAGCATGTGGGGTACAGCATATGGGGTACATCATTCAGGGTATAGCATGTGGGGTACAGCTCTCTATCTCCCTCCCCCACCCCCCCCCCCCCGTGCTGCTGCTACACCTGACCCCCGGTGAGGAGGTCAAGGGTCAGGGTTGAGGGGCACCACACACCTGACTCTGGCTAGGCTGAGTCTTGTCTAGTGGGTCTCCTTGAGTCTGGGTCTGACTGCCGAGGGTGAGGTTGAACTCGTACTCAGAGCCCTGAGTGTCAGCCCCCAAAAGGTCGGCTTCCTCGGTGTCGTAGAAGGTGAGACTTTGCGAACTGGGGCCGTATGCGTCCACACTCATTTTCGGAGATTATCACACTGCTCACAAGAGAATCACACGCTCTACTTCAACTCTTTTTCCGTTCAAATTTTTCTTCCCGCACAACCATGTCGGGAACCATGATAGCAATAGAGGGTATGACAGCGCAGAAGGAAACCTGTAAATAGACAAAAGAGCATCGCGGGATAATCTATTCGCTTGTTGCAGCATTTTAATGCTATTGCCTAGAGACAATCCAATGCTACATAAGAAAGTTATAGTAATCTCATGCTGTACGATATCCTCGGGCACACGTCACCCATGCAAGAGAACGTATTAAAAAATATATTTATATATTTATAATGCACTTATCAAGGCCAATATGATAAGAGAATTTGTCTCGCTTTTCAGATTAGCAGAGTTGAAATGTGATGTACATAACGTGTATCTTAGCAGGTACAGTGTTACAATAACATCCGTGTATAGATACTTTCACATGTTGCCTGGTGGGTCATATATAATATTGGGTTTACCTACATGTATCACACATGTTACTGACGTCATGCTTTTGTTATAAAGTACGGTACCTTGTAATAAAGATACGGCAGTACCTTTATTATTACAAGGTACTAATTTTTCTCTTATGAGTTGTGGAATTCCCATATCAAAATTCGGTTTCATAATCGCATTCGTAGATAGAAAATATATACAAACTAAATTATGCAATAAATACATGTATCTGTTCCAGCCAAACAGAAAAATTATTAATGATGGTCCTATGATTCAAATTGCATGTGGATTCTATCTCATGTTGACTTCTGAATGTATGACAGAGTTGACGAGTTAGCCAAAGAATCTGCTTTCAAAAAAGGAGTTGACTGTAGCCTTTGATTGCTTATCAGCAATCTAGCTCAGAAAAATAATACACTAAGAACTTTAATAAAACCTTAATTGTGGGTCTGAGGCATAGTGAAAGCTACACACTAGTCATTCCCATCTGTTATCATACTATCAACAAAGAGGAGCCACAGATCCAATTTGGAGGATATTGATCCACACCACTTCTGTAAAAGGTCATATGTAAAAAGCAAGAGCAACCCGGCTTCAAGCTCAACGTCACGCTTATGTAGGGCAGAAAACAGGAGATGCCTATTCACCCATAAACCCATGCTGGTGCCGTCTTCCCGTCGAAACCGTCAATGCCCAAACATTGCTGCACCTCAAAATTCAGCTGGATAAAATGGGCAGGAGAAATGGTGGGGACCTTCGACAAGCTACCGGCATCCTGTCCTCGTCGAGGCCGCTGAGGTGGTGCCCCTTGGGTAAATTTAGGTAAAATCAGCAAACTCCTAGAGTTACCTAAATTTACCTGATGGTTATAGGGTCTCGACGGGGACAGGAACCCGGCGGTTTGTCAAACTCCCCCCTTCATTTGTACTGATCATTTCATCCAGCTGGATTTTTAATCGCAGCAATTTCTAGGCGGTTATGGCTTTGCGGGTAGGCGGTTTCAAGGGTTTATAACCCTATGGGTGAAAAAGTATCTCATGTTCTGTGTCCTACACTGTGGCTTGTTGAGCATAAAGTCGTTGCTTCATGTACGTGTTACATTCGACCTTTTAAAGACGTGGTCTAGATCAATGTCCTCCAAACTGTTCATCATATTAAAAGTTTCTCGGAATTGTCGAGTGTGGGTCGAGAACGAACCCATCTGTCCTACGGGCACCCTATAAGATAACTCATGCAGGCACCTTCTCCTCGGCCTAAACTGGCACCAATCAAGGAACCAAGATTACAAACAAACAAAAACTGTTCGCTCGCATAACATCGTATTTTGACTTAAAAATCTCCCAACGTCAAATTAACTGGGCCCCTTGAGACTGAACTATTTACCTTGCTTCTTGCACTGAAATGTGTACAAGTCTCCAAACTTGATTCATTAATTGTAAGTGACTCTTTATCATCCTTAAATGCTCTCAACTCTTTAAGACATAACTGTAACATGCTCATGTCTGAAGCTAGACACAAATACAACAAAATTATTAATGATGGCAACAGAGTCCATTTCATGTGGACTCCATCTCATGTTGGCCTCCGAATGCGTGATAGAGCTGATAAGTTAGCCAAAGAATCTGCCTTTAAAGGAGACGTTGAGTGTAACCTTCGATTGCCAATGAGCAATCTGAGAGCAGCAGTACACCGAAAACTTCAACAAAATCTTGTGGATCTGAGGTAAAGTGAAATCGACACCAGTAATTCTATCTATCATCATACAATCATGCAAGAGGAGCCACACATCTATGGTTCATCCAATAAAATCAGCAGACTTCTAGATGTTACTACTGCTCGGGTTAGACTCGGTTACAAGTATCTCTGAGAATTCTCATTATCTGAATTGTGAGGTTCAGTCCCTGAGCCCATTATATACCTTTCTAACCCTTTCCACTACCGCCCACAAGATGGGTATGGGTGCATAATAAATAAACTAAAATAACTAACGCTGCTTCGCCAGCACTGTGGCCTGGGTTCGTATCCTGGCCGGGGAGGATTGACTTGGCGCCAAATCTTAACTGTAGCCTCTATTCACCCCAAGGAAACTATCCTTTGGTCCAGAGATATTGTGCAAAGTAGTTTCAGCGGTAGGCTTAGGTCTTCTGCCAGTTCTTTAATGACTTTGGATTGGATTCCATCCACACCTGGGGCTTTTGAGTCTTTTAATTTGTCAATGTTCTTGATTGTGTCGCATGTTATGGGTATATCCCTTAATTCTTTCTCTTCACCTCCGTCAAGCATTTGTGTGGGTGAAAACCTTTCTAGTGTGAACACTGATGTAAAGTATTCATTCAGAGTGTTTGCTGCCCTTTGATCGTCCATTATAACTTAGCCAGTCTTATCTTTGAAGGGTCCTACCGAGTCCTTTGTTTTGGGTTTACTTCTTATATATGCATAGAATGATTTTAGATTTTTGTTTTTAAGTTTTGGGCAAGTTTATTTTCGAAGTTTCTTTTGGCTGATCTGATTTCCTGGGTGGCTGAGTTTAGTGCCCTTTTATATATGTCATAATCAATGTTCATCGTGGCTGATCTGATTTCCTGTGTGGCTGAGTTTAGTGCCCTTTTATATATGTCATAATCAATGTTCATCGTGGCTGATCTGATTTCCTGTGTGGCTGAGTTTAGTGCCCTTTTATATATGTCATAATCAATGTTCATCGTGGCTGATCTGATTTCCTGTGTGGCTGAGTTTAGTGCCCTTTTATATATGTCATAATCAATGTTCATCGTGGCTGATCTGATTTCCTGTGTGGCCGAGTTTAGTGCCCTTTTATATATCTCATAATCAATGTTCATCGTGGATTATACATTCTCCGAGGTTCCGCTAAGTTATCAATGCTCGTTTTCCTACCTGTGTCATCCATCTAGTTTCCTTTCTTTTCTTTCTCCTCTTTGGCACATATTTTGGAACGAGTTTCCTTATGACATTGATATTTTCCCATGATGCTTGCACGCCATGTTCACCTATCAGCTACATTAATGACACTATGTAAAAGACACATCAAACACTTTATGTAGCATACATAAATCTGTGTATCTGTGTATTTACGTATGTAACTTAGCCTACCATTTTAAAAGCACTACAATCACCTTCTCTGGTTGATTGTTCAATAAATCCCTGAACTGTATGTTTGACAAATCTCTCACCCTGTCCATGGAGGACAGAAGAAAATGTAAATATGCTTTTTAGAATTGTAAATGTATGGCCACGTCTGTGGTAGAAAATAATAATAATAAAGCTCCCTCCAAGAGGTGTTTTGCAGTTCCACTTCTATTCCTTGATAGTCTCCTCGATTGCAAAGCCACTGTAGCGAGTAAACCTTATACTCGCTCCAATCTAAACTAACTAGGTTTACTCGCTACACCACTAACACGTCTTTCGTTTCGGGCATCATCAAGTTGATAAACCTCTCTGAAAGGAGTTACTGTATAAATTGCTCTGCCCGTTTAACACCACGTTACTCATTATCTTTCCATATCTCGCCTACAGTATCTGCGCCTGGGGATGTACAACTCTACCCCAGGGGCTAGATTCACGAAAGCACTTACGCAAGCACTTACGAAAGTGTACATCTTTCCTCAATCTTTGACGGCTTTCGTCACATTTATTAAACAGTTTACAAGCATGAAAACTTCCCATTCAATTGTTGTTATTGTTATGAACAGCCTCCTGGTGCTTCGGAGCTCATTAACTGTTTAATAATTGGAAACAAAGCCGCTAAAGATTGAGAAAAGATGAACCGATTCGTAAGTGTTTGCGTAAGTGCTTTCGTGAATCTGACCCCAGGAACATAATACTCAAGACAGCAGTGTCTTGAGCAATGTTATCAGCAATGATAACAATAACAAACTCCTGCCACAAGGCAGCATCCAGCACCTTTACTTTAACTCTTGAAGATGTAGATATACCAGTACTGTACATACTCTCAAGCGTGCTCTATATCTATAAAACTCTCAAGAACACTGCTCTAATCCTCACCACGGACTTTGGATTAGTTCTAAGAAACGAGGCTGCACGCTTCTTAGAGAGCAGCAATAGAGCCCGTGGACACCACACCAGAATCATATATATCTGAGACAGATATATATCTGTCAAGATGTAGCTGTCATCTATTAAGAATAGGAATATAAAGGAATATACCTGATATTCCATGAGTATGATTCAACCAGAGCAGAAATGCTATGGAAATAAAGTCTTAATTTGTAGAATGACTTACCAATTGCAATAAAATGCCGAACTACGATTAATCAAAGCGATTAAAAACAGAAATAAAGTACCGTCGATCAGTGAGTGTGGAGGAAGACTAGTAACTGTGTGACTCACCATAGATGTAAAGTGCCTTGTATAGTGACTATTGCGAGCCTCTTGTTGAATCACTTCCCCGGTAGTACAGTCATGTTCGTTCTCGACCCACAATCGAGAATCCCGGATTCGAATCCAGAGCGGGACCGAAATGCTTGGGCACGTTTCCTTTCACCTAATGATCTGTTCAAGTAATGCTGTTCAAACAGCAAGTAGGTACTCGGGAGTTAGTCAGCTTGTAGTGGGGTTGCATCCTGGGCAGGGTCAGTAATTCGGCCTTGAGGGGAAGACCTCGATAAAATCC